AAGTAGTCATAAAGAAACTGCAGTGTGGTCAATTCATTTACCCTGCAAAGTCTTGCTGCTGCTTCAGCTGCTGATACATCAAAACCATCATGTTTGAGTCATGACAAAAATAAGGAGAGACCTCCCCACCCCCCACCTAGTTTATTTAAAGTAGCTGCCGGAGTTGTGGGTTTTTCTCTCCCTGCACTCAGCCTGCTATTGATTTGAAAGCCTTGTGGTTGGCTGTAAATCACTTACTTATAATAGGCAATTTAGTTGCTGCTATGAGACGCATTATGGCGTGATGGCGTTGTTACTGTTAAGGACTCAGCTGGGGGCAAGAACCGCCTCTGAAATCCTCATCCTCCTTCAAGCAAGGGGCCCTTGCATCATTCAACTACGAACCTGAGTTTTCTGCTGAAACACGCACCCCTCCCCCATGCATTTAAAGGGCATTCAACACACATTTGAAGCACACAGCCTTCCCCGGAGAATTCTGGGAGCTGTGGTTAAGCGCTTAAGACAAGCCTTGCTGAAACAGGCCAATGGCCCGTCTAGTGCAGCATTCTCTTCTCTCAGGGGCCAACCAGATGCCTTTGCAAAACCCACAAGCAGGACTCAAGCACAAGAGCACTCTTCCCTTATGTGGTCTCTTGCAACTGGTACACAAAAGCATTACTGCCTCTGGCCAGGGAAGCAGAACATAGCCATCATTGGCTAGTAGCCTTATGAGAGCCTTATCCTCTTTCAATTTGTCCAAGTTGGCGGCCATCCCCATCTCCTGTGGCAGTGAGCTCCATATCTTATCTATGCACCGAGTTAAGAAGTTCCAGTTGCCAACACCCTGCACAAAATACAATTCCCAGGACTCTTTGCGGGAAATTGTGTGTGCACTGGAAGTGCTTTAAATGTATGGGATGGATCTGCCCGAGAGTCTACTCAGCAAGGAGGTCAAACCAATCTTCTCCACTCATCCATGCAACTGCATCCCCTTATTTCAGGGGTGGGGAATTGGATGGTGATCCTCTCCACATTTTCCACGTCAAGTTTGACAGGTCACCATTTGGGACAGTTGGTGGAGTCAGAGTCAATGGCAGGCAGAGGCACACAGTGTCTGGTTGTAGCTAAGAAGGAAGGCAAGTGGGGACAGGCTGAGATTGGTGGGAAAGTGCCCCAGTCCCCAGCCTCCACTGGATGGATGCAAGCTTTATCTTTTGTATAGAAGCCTACACTCCAGCTGCACAAAAAGCAGTGGTTTCTATACACCCACATACATATGCCTCCCGACAAGCAACAGCCTGCTATTTGCTTTTGAATGCTTGTACATTTCACACTGTGCTCTCCAGACTTTGTTAGCTGCATTGAATGCTTTGGACTGAAAAACAGGTTACAAAACCTTCCGTCTGCAAGCAGGATACAAATATACTAAAATCCAGCACTTAGGAAGGGCTGTGGCTCAGGGGCAGAGCCCATGCAACAGAAGGTCTCAGCTTCAATCCTCAGCATCCCAAAGCAGGACTGGGAACACCTCCTTGCCTAAGAAAGGCAGGACAGCTGCTACCAGACAACGTGGACAATATTGAGCTAGATGGAAGGGTACAAATATATTGAAACTCATCCTTCGGCAGTCAGGCATTCTGCAAGAGAGGGTGGAAGTTAGAGACACCAGGAGTCGGCTAGAGAGGTTCCCCACCCCAGCTTCCAGTGATGTCATGGGGGCAGGCCCTAGAGATGGAGGTTAATTGGGAGAAGGGCACATCTCATGTAGGATCTACTCTATAATTTGCAGTCAGTTGCTGCTGGGCTGAATCTTGCAAGCTGCACACAGTTGTTTTTTATAAAAAAAAAATTATCATCATCATCATCATTATTACTACTATTTAAGGCACTTTTGCCCTCCTGGAGATTTAAGCTCTCCCCTAGCAATCTGGAAGGGGCCTGGAGATTTCAGGTCAGACTTGGAGGCCTGGCAACTCTACAAGCAGCATCGCAACCACAGCACGACATGTAATGCTTACACAGCAATGCCTATGTATGACTCGGGCATCTTCCCCCCTCCGCCCTGCCCCATCCACACACTGTAGCAGGAGAAGAAATAAGTATTTCCACATCTGTGCTAATCTGCAGCAGGATCTGAAAGTCTATTGCAAAACCGAGAGACAGAGAAAGGGAAAGAAAGTGTGTGCTTGTGTGTTTCTGTGGGCTTCCCATGTGAATAACACCCAAAAGACACACTTCTGATTCAGAGGAAGTTTTTTCATTCTTTCCCCCCTTCTTTCTCCCTCACCATATATGGTCATATATGTTTTTTGCAATCGAATCAGGTAACCTATCAGCACAAAAGACAAACCAGGTCACTCTGAGCAGAAAGGAAAGCCACAGGATATGACTTGAGTGAAGCAAACCAGGCCAGCTGGGAGGAGGTTGGGGCGAGGCCTGCCTTTTATGGTAAAAAAAACCTTTGTTGAAGACCAAAGGTCAGATGCATCCGGCATTGCCCAATAGTCAAATACAAAAAGTGCAGCAATACACAGTTCCCATCGCAGGGCTTGCACAAAGTGGTGCCACCCGATTCAATGCATCAGCCATGTGAGCTGTGCAACGCACCCCTGAACATGTTTCCTTAGAAGCAAACCCTATAGAGTCCAATGGGGCTTATGCATTTTGTGGACACATTAGAGCACCTTCTTTGCATGCAGAAGAGATCCCTGCCTGAATCCCCTGGAGACCCTCTGCCAATGGTCTGACTCAGTACTGAGACAGCTTCCCATGTTCCTATGACTGTAGCCTCCACTGGCTATGTCTGTTTGTGTATCTGAGGTGTGTATATGTTGTTGTTGTTTAGTCGTTTAGTCGTGTCTGACTCTTCGTGACCCCATGGACTAGAACACGCCAGGCACTCCTGTCTTCCACTGCCTCCCGCAGTTTGGTCAGACTCATGTTTGTAGCTTCGAGAGTGTGTGTGTGTGTGTGTGTGTGTGTATGGCAGTCTGCAAACAGAACCTGAGTGCAGTGGCACTTTCCTCACTTGGGATCCCCAGCAACTGGAATCAAGGGGCACATTTTTCACATAGCAGCACTGTGGGATTCACTCCTGCAAATTCATGGAGGAGAAGTCTATCAGTGGCTACTGCCGCAGTGGTTGTGTTTTAATTCTGTTCAAAATGCTGTTGTGTTCAACTCCTGCCTGCAGGCTTCTCACAGCCATCTGGCTGGCCACTGTGAGAACAGAGTGCTAAGCCAATATTGAGAGGCATACTGCCTGTGACATCAGAGCCAACACATCCCCTGTGAATTTTCCTGATCCTCTTTTAAAGTCATCCAGGTTAGCGACCATCACTACCTCCTGTAGGAACAAAATTTCAACTGTGTACTGTGTGGAGAAGTACTTTTCTTTGGTCTGCACTGAATCTTCCAACATTTAGGTCCACTAGATGGTTTGCTTAGGAATCGAGCCTTAAGTTTGTGGTTTCTTAGCAAGCAATTAGGTAGGATTCTGACATTATTTAGTGTGTGCGTGTATCTACTTGTTGCAACTGTCACAAAAAGGTAAAAGTAGCTGTGTTGGCCCAGAAGAATATAAGTTCCAAAAAGCCACATTAGGACGATGACTTTGCTAGGTTGACCAAGATGTCACAGAATAATATGCATCAGGAGCAGCAGCATCCTATGCCTTATGTAAGCTTTGGAGTGTTCAGAATTCTACATCAGGCTAGATGGAGAGGAAGAACAGATGAAATATATTGGCTAGTGTTTAAGCAGTGATGGATGGTTTGAGCACCAATCAATTTCCCGCTTCTTCTTCTCTCTGCCCCCTGACATTTTTGCCTTCCGTTTGAAAAGAGGGTGGAAAAACATAGGCCCACATCCACCTGTAAGATACAGTACCACAATTTTGCATGAATGCAGGGCAAAACAAAAAAAATACACAGATTGCTGTATTGTATTCAGCTTCCATACATTTCCAGCTTTCATTAAAATAAAAGAAATGGCTAAGGGTCTAAATACTAAGTGACTAAATATATGCTGAAAGAGTCCAATTCCTGGACTAGGTTGTGCATTGATGGAAATAAATATCCCACTGCCACCTTGTGGACATTGGGATCATGTTGCGTCAGGGGATCTGTACACATCAAAGCAGCTGTGGTACTACCTAGACTGGATTACTGTGACATGCTCTATGTGGGGCTGCCCGTGAAGGTTGTTCAGAATGTGCAGCTGATGCAGGCAAAGAGTTAATGGGAACCAAGTGACAAGACACCTAATTTTGACACCTCCAATTTGTGGCCAGCATCCATTCAAAATGCTGGTTTTAACTTCAGGCTTGTGGAAAGGCACCACAGGCAGATCCACACCATACATTTAACGTACACCCAATGCACATTTGAAGCACATGACTCCCCCCCCCCAAAGAGTTATGGGAACTATAGTTTGTTAAGGACGCTGGGAACTGTAGCAGCGAGGGGGAAATCATGTGTTCGAAATGTGCCAGTTAATTACGCCTGCATGATTGACAGCACGCAATAGGTGCCTGTAACTCTTGCCCAACATCACATGTCATATTGTGCTAACAGTGGCAATGTATGCATTAGTCAGGTTGAAGCCAGGTAAAAACATCAAGAAATGCCACCCAGTTTCTTTTTTGGTGCTAGTATGACTGTCCAAGATCACCCGGGAATCGAACCCGTAATTCACCAGCGCCTTCATTTGTTCTCCCGCTACTCTACGAACGCTCCCATTGGCTAAGACGACAAAAGAGGGCGGGACACCTAGAAGGAAGTTCCCGCGAGAGAGAACACATCTCGGCCTTCACCTCAACATAGAGAGATTAAAATAGAGAGTCGTCCACCCTTTCCGTTTTTTTATCAGAACTTCCGGCCCAAGGTCGAACCCTTTTCCGTTTTAACTCCCAGGACAATGCATAGCGGGGGAAGGGTCACCATAGATATGTGAATGGCTGGAGGAGGAGCCCATGTACCATCACTCTCGCGAGTACGCTCCACCCACTCTTCCCTTTTTCTATTTCTATGTCTATGTCAAGTCTGTCGATTTGATGATGCAGTACAGAACGCGGAAGGCGGCGATGATGCCGACCTTAGTAGCCGCCTCTGCGCAAAGCTCGGCGTCCCCTATTGGCTGAGCGTTCTGTCAGTCAAACGGCCAGCGGGGCGGTACTTCAAGGGAAGGCCTCCCCAGAGGCCAAGAGTGGCGGCGGTGCTGGCGCTGCCGCGGGAATGAGGAGACGCCGCTGAGGAACATCGGCCGTCCGGGGAGCGTCCACGCCTGAGGAACCGCCGCCGACAAGTGAGGATATTTGCGGGGTGGGGTGCGGGTTTCAAATATGAATAGTAACGAGGGGGCGTGGCCTATATTAATATTAATAAGGGGGCGTGGCACGTATGACTATCAATGAGGACGTCACTGATTATGAATTGGGGAACCTGAGTATAATTGAGGGTATGTGTGTGTTTTATCTATTATACATGCACACATTATGTTAGAGACTATTATAGTTACATAGTATATATTTTGTTTAAATACTGTAAAGAGTTATATATATATAATTATCTCTCTCTGTGTGTAGCTGTATATCACAGAGGCTGGGAATGAAGCATATTTATTTCATTAATTAATAATGTTAATCATTAACAATTCATTCATTGTAATTCAAAAGTAACTGAGTGGTTTTAATTATGAATTCATAAATCACCCATTGCAGACAATTGTAGTTCAGAAGTATAGAAATTGTTTAAATGGCTGAATGAATAATGTGAAGGTGCATCATGGCTTGCAACCTTCTTTTCCACCAAGTGGTGCTTAAAGTTAACAGTAAATTGCAACACTTAGCAGTTGCTGCAACAGTCAGCTTATGAGGTCAAAGGGGGGGGAAATGTGTTTTGTTTCCTGCACTTGGATCTTGCTCCTTCCTTACTTGGTTAATTTTTTATCCACGTGCCAAGATTTGAACCCAGATCCCACCTCTGTATTTGCAGCATTTTGTTGAAAATAAGAGATGAGCAAAGAGAAGTCTATTGATGGCTACTAGGTATTCAGTAGTGTGCTTCTCCCCACCTGATGTTGTATACAACTCAGTCCTACTCACAGTAGACCCACTGAAATTACTGGACATGGCTAACTTAGGGCTATTTATTTCAGTGGATATATTCTGAATTGGACAGAGCTGGTTACAGCTCTAAGCTGAAGCACTTCCTCGTCTGTCTCATTGTCCTGATCTGAATGTCATATGGGAGTGCTGGCTTGATTGCCCTAAACAAGAACAGATTAATGTTCATCTTGTTTGATGACAAAACGTATTTCTGTTGCTCCTGATAATGCATGTATGTGTGTGTGTGTTTTTCTCTGACAGGTTTAGGTAGCTGCGCTTTGTGAATAATTCATACTTGTTGGGCTTTGATCGTTAATTTGTATTTCCGTCACTGCGGCTCGTTTAATGAAAAGCACTCATGTTTCATACTTGGTTTTAAAAAAGGCTTTCATTTACACTCCTGACCTCAAGAGAGTGGGAGCTTGGGGCGTGTGTGTTTGATGCTGCTGGGAATATTTCTTTCATTATGTCCCAATGGGATTACTCAAAGGAATGAAGAGAGAGCGCTTGAAAGCTTGCAGCTGAAGCATGATTTCCGAAGGCTGATTTATGAAGATGGTATGAAAACAGCCCCTTTGTCAACACAGTCAACTTATTTATTTAACAAAATGTATATCCCACTTGATTGTTTTATACTTTTGTTACCTGCTTAAAAATTATCTTAAAATGTATCAAAATTATTGACAAAGAACATTCTGCTTCTGGGCCTTTTCTATGCAAACCAATGATGATGATGATGATGCTCAGACTGTCATGAGGAGTTCCTACTTTCTATGCACCTTTTGCAGCATGCAGTTACAGGTTTTACATCACTTCCAAAGGAGTGTTTTATGCAATATCAGTGGATTCCTGCATATTCTTTGGGGTGGGTACTTGTGGTCTTTTAGTATAGAATTGCAAGCCAATAGTCGGCAGTCTACAACCTTGTGGCTTCCAGTCTTCCAGGCCTTCTAATGTAACATTTGTCTTTGGGGCATTTTGGAAGGCAAGCAGATTCTTTTCTCAAGTTAGCAGGAGGCAGTGATGGTTACCAACGTGGATGGATCTGAAAGAGGATTAGACAAAATTCATGGAGAATAAGACTATCAATGGCAACTAGCCATTACAGCTATGCTTCCCCCATGGTCAAAGGTAGTAATGCTCTGAATAGCAGTTGCTGGGAACCACAGGAGGGGAGAGGGCTCCTGTGTCTGGGTCTTGTTTGAGGGCTTGGCACAGGCATTTGGTTGGCTGCTGTGAGAGCAGGATGCTGGACTAGATGGGCCATTAGCCTGATCCTGAAGGGATCTTCTTAGGCTCTTAGTTGTTGCTCTCTCTCTCATGTGCGCGCACACACACACACACACACACACATACAGAGTTGGTCACATACTACATTCAGAATAACAATCCAGCCTTCAGCCCTCATGCTTCCCTGAGCTGTTGGGTCATTTGACGCTTTATAATAGATTTCAGTTTGCAGCCAGGCGTTATTAATTCTTCATGAGCCAAATTGATTGTTTAACCTTATTGTTTTTTCCATTTTGATCAGGACCCTGAAGCCTTTGTGCTTTTGCAAAATGACTTTGAACCGTCTGCTTCTCCCCCCACTGCTGCAACTTGGCAGTGCCCCCGTTTCGGTGGTTTTTCTGGTTGTTCCTGAAACACCGCTTGGGACTGGTACCTTCTGAGCCCTGCCGCCGTTTACATGCTTGTCTCTTTCCTTTTCCCTTTCATCATCCTTGCAGGATTCCACCATCTGCTGGAAAAGATGGGGAACGTGGAAAGCAGCAGCCATTACCAGAAGCACCTCTCGAGGTTCCTTCCTGATGAACAAGCCGACATTGATAGCGTCTTCGTTGCCTTATCCGGGTCGGGGGAGGCTGTCGGAGGAAAGGGGGGCAAACCAGCCAAGAAGGGTGTGACTCTGACGATGCTCAAGGCAAGAAACAAAACTTGGTTGACAATTAGCATGCTTAGCCTTATCTGATAATTTTTTGTGTATTTACAGCACTTTGTGGACATGTTCCTATTGTAATATTTGCAGCAACCTTGCATAGTGCAGATGACCTTAAACGAATTGCTTAAAGTCAGCTACCGAATTCACAGCAGTGGCAAGATTTGATTCCTTGAGCTTTGTCTCAGTCTCGTGGCCACTCTGCAGTGGAAGGGCTGCAGCTCTATGGTAGAGCATCTGCTTTGCATTCAGAAGGTCCCAGGTTCAATCCCTGGCATCTCCAGGTAGGGCTGAGAAAGCCCCCCGCCCCCCGCCGGATACTTTGGAGAGCTGCTGCCAGTCAGTTCAGGCAATACTGAGCTAGATGGAGTTAAAAGTTCTTGGTATAATGCAGATTCCTATATTCCTAAGATTAGACAGGGCTTGTAGTGGTGATGTTGTTTTACAGAGGATGCTCCTACACAGAGGTAGAGAACCTGTGGCTTTTCAGATGTTGTTGGACTCCCAACTCCCATCAGCCCCACCTAGCATGTCCAATAGTTGGTGATAATGGAATACACTGGCTTCCCACCCCTGATATAATGCATTGGTCTCCCAGTAATGAGCTGCAGCACATTGGAGTGGGTTGCATGAGTGATACTGTACTGATTACTTTTAAAGAAATAAGAAATAGAAAAGTGACAGGTGCGGGGGGGGGGGAGTTAGGGAGAGGGAGAATAATGTAGCTGGAGTGGTGGCGTAGTTGTTAGAGTGTCAGTCTAGGACCTGGGAGACCAGGGTTCAAATCCCCACTCGGCCATGGAGCTCACTGGGTGACCTTGGTCCAGTCACAGCCTCTCAGCCTAACCTGCCTCACAGGGTTGCTGTGGGGATTAAATGAGGAGGGCGAGAACCATGTTCAGCACCTTGAAGGTGGGATATAAATGCAATAAATAAAAAAACAAATAGCCATCTGGCTTTCTTCAAGTTGAGCCACTGTAGCTTCTTCCCTGTTCTGCAAATCCTGGGAATTATTTTGCATTGACTGTACCAGCATGCCTGCAGTATATGTTGCTTTGTGGCTTGCTGTCCTTTGGGAAGAGAGTGGGATAGAAATTTAACATGCAAATAATTAAAAAGTGTAGTCGCTGCAGCCTGAGAATCATAGAATTGTAGAGTTGGAAGGGACCTGGAGGATCATCTATTCAGGAATATGCAGCTACGGGGATCGAACCTGCGACTTTGGTGTTATCAGCACCATGCTCTAACCAACTGAGCTATCCAGAAAGGAGCCTGGGAAACAGTTTTATACCAGATCAAACTGTGACTCAGTCTGGCTCAGAATGCTGGGTGGGAAGCCTGTTCCCAAGCCGGTTAAGAGCTGATTTCCAGAGCTAGAAATCCAAAATGTGAAAGTATCCCTGGCATGCTGAATGAGCGGCTGGCTTGTTCCTTTTGCCTGTTCGCCCAAACAAAGAGACATACAGCGAGGGGAGCCAGAGGAGAGATGGCCCTTCCTTGGCATCAGGATGCATTGCATTTGGTACAGAGTGAGCTCCTGGCACTTTGGAGACTGCTTGTTCCTTCTGGATGGCTGAACTTTCCTGTTGCGTTTCCTTCTATCTCTAGGCCCACGTCAAGGAGGCCCTCCCTGAATCAATGGTCGTCCGGCTGTACAATGGGATGAAGAGCATCTCTCTGTCTGAGAAGTCTCCTGGGTCCAACGGGCAAGTGGGGAAGGAGCAGTTTGTCATTTTCATGTCGGCAGTCTTCAAAGGCAACGCCGAGGAAAAGAAAGGCATCGTCATGAAAATGATATTGAACACGGACAGCACCGTGAAGGGAAGTCAGATCATTGAGGTAAGAAGAGAAAAAACCCAGTGTGTTCCATTTGCCTGTAAGAGAGAGGAAGAGGGACTGGAGCAAAAATGGGGCAAGGTGATGGATGTGGGAACCAAGACTGGGAAGCCAGGAATCAATACCTAGAAGCCAGGAATTGTCTGCAAATTTAGCGAAAGGAAAGGAAGGCAGATGCTCAGCCACTGCTGTCTTTCTCCAGTGCCAGATACAGAAGCTGTAGTTATTCGTATCGTACTAGTCCCTGTTAGTATCCTTTTCTAAGTATTAATTTCTGCCCTCGTTAGGAGGTCTGTTCCTTTTTTGTGTGTACATCTGCCATTTAAACACTCCACGTAGGAAAACAAAATTAAACTCTTGAAGTTTGCAGAGGATCTGGTTGGCTCTGTGGTTCATGTCCTGAGCTACAGGAAGATGCTGAAGGGCTGGAACTTGAAGAATGTGCAGAATTCAACCACAGGAATAAAAGCTTTGGCGTCTCAGTTAGTGTCGGAGTTGAAATCGGCAGGTGAGTGGCGGAATGTCCATTTTCGCTTTGGTTTAGCCGTAGGCCCTGGCAATGGTTGGTGGCCATTGTGAGCTCCATAGGGTTTGTGGCTTGGGAGACAGAGAGGCGCAGAGAGCTGCATTTGGCTCTTGGGCATGAGGTTTCCTGCCTCTGGAATACAACATAGCTACTAATAGACCTTTCCTCCTCTGTCCATTACTCCTAATCCATTTAAAAGCCCTTGGATCCAGTGGTCAGGTTTGGCAGTGGCTCCTTTGGACCCGACCAGGTTTCCTGGTGCTACTTACCTCTAACTTTTGTTTCTTGCTGCAGATGGGAAGAGGCTTGAGGGTGGTCAGGCGCTGGATGCTGTCTGTGACGAAAGCAGCATTGAGGATTGGGTCTTCCGGGTTCCACAGGTCTCCGCTTTCCTCACTGTGGCCGTCCAGCAGGGGCTGCCCATCCTGCACTCCCTCCCGGACCAAGAGCAAGAGACCTTCCCTTTGCTTCCGGCATGCCAGGGGGTCAGAGGCAGCCGCTTTGTCAGCCTCCTCAACATCCCGTCCATCACCTACATCAACTCTCACCTGCCTTCCGAGCTCCAGCACAAATGGAGGCTCCTCTTTGCCTCCCAGGTTCATGGTGAGAGCTTTACGCAGCTGTGTGGGCACATTGTCAACCAGGGGCCCTGTGTGCTGGTTCTGAAGGACACGGATGGCTACGTCTTTGGTGGTTTTTCGTCGTGTTCCTGGGTGGTTAAACCACAGTTTCAAGGTAAGAATGCCTGTTGACCCAACATCTTTCAGCCTATAGCTCACATTTCACAAAATCTCAACCCTGCTCCTCTGGCAGGTGCTATGGGGCAAGGCTCTGTGTACATCCTGTTTAAAAAGTATTGTCTAAAAAATTCTGTATCTAGACAACCCAAATTCTTTGCCAAGAAAAGCAGGATCATTTGTATAAATTGGGCAAAGTGTGCAATTTACCATATTTCCATGGCTCCTGGAAATCTTATTCTCCCACTATTCTTTAGAGATTTTAGCTGGCTTTCCCTTCGCTGGGCAGGAGGGTTGGTGCTGGTTCCTGCCAGAAGGCTGCCTTCCCTGCTGAGGTTGCCTATCAGGGGCTGTGTTCCAGGGGCAAAAGTGGAACAATGCATGCAAATCTTACTTTTGCACAGTAGGATGGTTCTTCCACAACCCTCTCTGTCCTTCATAGAGGCAAGCAAGAAGCTTTGTTAGAGTTCAAGCACATGTTTTTGCTTAGCAGGGCCTGTGAGGCACATGGCCCATGGAGAGTGGGTGTGGCCTGTTGAGAGTCCCAAAGGCCGGAGAGAGGGACCTGGAGGGCCACATGTTCTCCCTGTGCCTGATGCGCCTCTCCCCTTTCTCTCTTTCAAGCCTGTCTTCACTGACAAGACAAACATGAACTTCTGGGGAAGATGAAATTTTGCACCCAACACCACATTTTGCCTGGGGTCTTCCCACTGACTCTCCCAGTTTAAGTCCCTATTGGTTTTAGTGAGTTGGAGACCCAGGCAGGTGTGCACAGAATTGCAGACTTCGCAGGTTTATTTATTTATTTTAAATGTGCATGCTGTCAAAATGACTTACTACTGTTTTCCCACTAGATGGCAACCCTGCCGTTGCTTTTGATTCTGCTGAGATCAGAACTAACTCTCTTTAAGGTGGAGAGTATTCTCAGGACGGATCAAAACACCTAGGACGTAGAGCAAATGTGTTCTTCTGGGAAAGAGCTGTAGCTTTGCATGCAGTAGGTCAAGGGTTCATTTCCTGACATCTCCAGGCAGGACTGGGAGACACCCCCGTCTGAAAAATGCAGGCCTCTGGATGCCAGCTGCTGGCAACCACAGATGGGGAGAGTGCTGTTGCTCAGATGGCCTCCTTGTGAACTTCCCATAGGCATCTGCTTGACTGCTGTTAGGAGAAGATGCTGGACTAGATGGGCATTTGGCCTGATCTAGCAGGCTCTCGTCAGGAAACCTTGGAGAGCCACCAGGGCTGTCTTAAGCATATGCAACGCCGGGGTATAAAGATCCGCCCGGCACCGCCCCCCCCCGGCTGCCCAGTCCTAGGCACACAGGAGGGCAGAGCCGGCCAGCCACCTCAGCGTCTCGCTGGCTCGGTCACCCCAAAACTCACAGCGCAGTGCCGCCTGCAGCAGAAGAGCCCGCCGCAGCGCTCTGACCAATGTGCAGTCTCTTCCCTGAACTCAACTCTCGAGCCCCGGACTCTTGGCCTGGCGCCCCTGGTGCCCCGCCCCCCTAGCACCTATGGGTAAGATGGCCCTGAGAGCCACTGCCGCTCAGTGCAGAGGATACTGTGCTGGATGTACTGATAGTCTGACTTGACATAAGGCAGGCTCCTTTGTTCCAGTGCATCTCTCCTGCCTCTGCCTCACCAGACCTCCATGCAGGGTGTAAAGAGGGTTCTTTAATACTGGCTGCCCTGCAGGCGACAGGCGGAAATTAGCAGTAGAAGCTGTGGGGTTACGAGGCGCCATATCTAATGCAGGGGCCAGTAGGAGACCCTTGTCTGCTTCAAAAACTTTGGTTCCAGGCCAATCAGGGCTTTACGTGTCAGTTTAAGCACCATAATTTGGGCCAGGTGGACAACTGGCAACAAGTGCTGGCGTTTCAAAATTTCTTTGTGCATTTACCGTAAATAAAAGATCTCGGGTTCAATCCCTGGCATCTCTAGGCAGGACTGGGAGTATTCTCTGTCTGAAACTCTAGAGAGCCGCTGCTGCCAGCCAGTGTCAATGATACTGAGCTAGATGGACCAAGTGTCTGACTCGGTGTAAGGCAGGTTCCTCTGTTCTGTGTCCCTAGATTGCCTTCCTTTCTGTTCATTGCTAATTGGTCTGTGCTCCTTCTTCCTTCCACTGTCATTTTACAGGCAACAACGGATGCTTTCTGTTCTCTGTTTCCCCCTCGCTTGAGGTCTTCACTTACACCGGCTACAACGACCACTACATGTACCTGAATCATGGGCAGCAGACAATGCCGAATGGCCTTGTAAGTACAAAACGGTTGCAGGATGAAGCCTTGTCTTGTAATACGGCACTGTCAGTCACCCTGGGGAATCTAGTCCTCTTCTGCAGTGCGACTGTGAGGGTCAGTTTTTGCTGGATCACACCACTTGAAGATTGTGGGTTGGGCAGATTGTGTGCTTGATCTGCTTGTCCAGGATTTTGTGTGTGTGTGCATGTGCGTGGTTGGCCAGATGGCCTTTGCTGAGCATCTGACCGAAAGCCTATATTTATTTAGTTGAGCTTTTATTTTATTTTTTTACAAGGCAAAATACAGAGAACAAGGGAAGCTAGATGATTCCAGAATTACAAATTCTTAATATAAAAAACGATGAAATGTAGGCAACCATTAAAAAAGAAGAAGCAAGGGATGCATACGTTGGAAGGATAGAAATACAAAAAAGGTTATTGTAAAAAATAAAAGTTCAGCAGAGGAAAGCCTGTTGGGAGTTTTCTCCCCAAATCCTATTGAATAGGAAGACGTGTTCTTTATTGCTTCTTCTTTGTCAGTATTTTCTTCTTAGGTATTCCCCTTCAGTGTGTAGTTTGACTTAAAAACGGTGTGGTGCTTGATGTAAGGGAAACTGATTTGTACTTGTATTCTGTCTTGCTGTTTCTGTATCAAATAGCCTATGGCTTTGAACAATAAAGAAAGGTACTGTTTTGCAGGTGTGGTGATGGCTGTTAGCTTAGATCATTTTGGAAGGGGGTTAGATAAATTCATGGAGGAAGTGAGGCCTGTAAAGGCAACTATTCATGGTTGCTATCCAGGACCTCCCTGTTCAGAGGTAATGTGCCACCAATTCTTGAGGACTAGTGGCATGGATGTGCTGTTGCCTTCCTGCCCTGCTTGTGGGATTATCTGAGGCATCTGATGATTGAGCACTGCAAGAAGCAGGATGTGTGAGCTGAGTAGCACTTTGGTCTGACCCAGCAAGGCCCATTTTAGATGGGTCGGGTGTTGTTGGGGCCGGCACGCCTGCCTCTGAGTGGATTGCCATAGCATGTCCTTCCAGCCCCACCCAACACTGATAGGGTCATTCAGTTAAGGAGCAGACTGCATGCTGCAGTGCGTCGGCCGAACCCCTTTGTTCTTCCTTCCCAGGGCATGGGTGGACAACATGAATACTTCGGCCTGTGGATCGACAGCAACTATGGGAAGGGCCACAGCAAAGCCAAGCCCAGATGCACCACGTACAACAGCCCTCAGCTGTCGGCCAAGGAGAACTTCACATTGGACGCCATGGAGGTTTGGGCGGTGGGAGACCTCCCGGAAAGTGCCACTGTAAGTGACCGCTGTGACTGTATCTCTAGCTAAACAATAACCTCGAGGTAGCTGGGCAGTGGCTCAGTGGCCCCCTGAAACTCATGCATGAACTCTTTGAGTCAAAACAGCTTGCAAATTTCCATCCCTAAGGGATGTTGCATTGGAGGGTGGAAACCTTCAGGAAGGTCCAGGCATGGCATTGTGCTGTGTAAATGGCACCCAACAGGCTATCAGTGCTAGTCTCCTGTTTGAGGAAAGGAGGTTGAGTGGACAGGCAGCTATGATGTCCGCAGCCCCCCAACTCCTTTGAGTCACTCAGTCCGCAGACGGGTGATCAGTATTGTGATGTGTCATGTCTTCTTGTTTGTGTCATGTCCTCTTGGATAACAAAAGCATATTTATTGAGGCCACACAGTGGGCTGCTGTGCATGGTTGTACATTTCTTTTGGGCTGGAGGGCCACAAGATGTGTTTCCCCTTAAAGGGGTGTGTGGCTTCTGGATGCCAGCACTTTTCTATGATAGCACCGTGCATGTATGAAAAGGCTAAAGGCAAAAGAAAACTTACGTTCAGTGCTAACACCAGTTACAAGTCTAATTGCCAAACAACAATCAAAACAGCAGCAAGAGCCATTGCAGAGACAGGTACACCCACTTCCGAAGCAAGACTAGAGTTAATCGTCCGTTAAAAGTTTCGGAGAGGGAAACGGCATTTTCATACTGCTTTCCTGGCACAGAAAAGCTGCTAAGTTTCTTGGCAACAATACCATGGTGGGTGTGGGTGCATGTGCTGTTTTTTTGTGTTTCTTCCCTTCCTTCCCCCAGCGGTGCCCCAAGGGTTCCTCTTAGCGATCAGAGATCACGCTCTGACATGGGTCCCCTTCTGCAGTCATTTCAGGAAGCTCTGTGACCTTACCCAACCTGTTTGACTGGACCAACAAAGCAGGCTGGCAAATGGGTGGGGGCCGCAGAACCTGTCCTGCTGTTTGCAGAGGGATGGCCGGGGGGGGGGGAGCTGCACAGGGAAGCAATAACAACTTCCTTCTAACGCAGACGTGACATGAAAATGAAAGGGCCCCACGATGGGTTGATCGTGACCTCTTCCCTTTCTTGAATTCCTATTTTGTTTGGTGTTCCAACCTGCCTTCTGGGTTTTGATTTAGGGCACGGGGCCGAAGAGCATCCTGGACGCAGACCCCGAGGCCCAGGCTTTGCTGGAGATGATCGGGAAGGGCCGGAAGAGCGATGGGTTGCGGGATCCGGCCGATGGCGATGGGGGCGACAACTGAGAACAAGGCTTGGAAGCTCTTGCCTGATGCTTTGTGCAGAGCAGTCTCTGATCTCTCTCCAACACCACATGTGAAAACTCGATAACACAAACCACTCAAGTGTAATGTGTTTTCCTAGAGTTGCATGTTGTCTGGTTAGGAGACAAATCCTTTGCGTAGCGGGATGGTTTGTCTGTGGCGGGCAGATGGGGTGATTGCATGCTTTAGGTAGTTCTTAATAATCAAGGGTATTGCTGAATATAAATGAAGACAGGTCCACGACCCTCCCCCTCCTTTGGATCAGTGTTAGCATCCACTATTTAGTCACACATTTCGTCTGTGAGCAACTCAAGGGAGTTTTCGAGAATCCTGTTGGGAAACAGTTTCCTGAACGAATTTCAGCTTGTTTGCTCAAGAGGGCCTTTGCTAATCATGTTGAAGCAAATTTTGTTGGGGACAGTTGGTTCAACCCAGTGTTGAACATTCACAGACCCTGCCTTAGGAAACCCACATTTTGAATGTTGTAAAGGCAGTAGCCAGAGAACTGAGCACTTGATTGATGCTGCTTTTAGTCTCAGACTGCTGTCCCAGACACCGTTCACATAAGTGTATAGGACTGAGAACCAAGTCAGATTTCCAGGGTGGTTCAGGCACAGGCCAGTGTTGGGAGTGCAAGCGAAAGACCGCCCCCCTGGTGAATTTCTGGGTGCGTATGGCATCACTAAAGCAGACCCTTTAAGATGCATGAGATTGGGCTGATCCTTGAGCTGCTGGCGGCAAGTTGCAGGTTAACCGGATCAGCACGAATCAATGCTAAATCATGCGACGAAGCAGTGGATACAGCCTGTCAGTCGGGGCGCCAGTCTGAAGGATGAAACATTGGTTGCAGCCAAACTTAGCAATGTCTGAAACCCAAAGACCCAATTTTCTTTGCTAGGTTTTGTCGAGAAATGACCTCAAGTCCTCAATTTAAGGCCTACTTCAGGATTCAGTCTAGGGAATTATAAAGGGGTGTGAAGACGGGGCTTTACCTTGGATTTTCATGTGACTGTCAGCTTTGCAAATCTGCACCTCTATGCAACACAAACCACACAGCAAATAAGATGATAGCATCTGAAACATAAGCTGCAAACTTTAGAGCTACTCAGGACTTCTTATCATGCTCCGAAAAGTAAGTGTGTGTGTGAAAAAGTTGTTTGACGAGGCTTGGTATTCAAAACAGTGTCCTTAGATCCCCACACCTCTCTTTTTTTAAGTCTTAAGGTAGTGAACTTTTGAGTAGAAAATTAAGTATGCAAAGCAAGGAATCTAAAACTGACATTCCCTTTGCAAGTGTGAAAAACAAGTATTAGCTTCCACTATAGTTCCACTTGAGCCTCGCAGATTACTGAAAGGTGGGGAATAACAATAAAATAAAAGTGGTCTATAGAGGTAAACAGTATGTTGGAAATTGAAATGTCCTTTGGCTTGTTGACGTATTTGATCAAGTTGCAAAGGCATAATTTCCACAATAGCTGGATCTCTTCTGGTCTTCTGAGTGAACAGATCCAGCTTCTGAGTGCATCTTTTATGTATACTGTTCTGACTTGGTGACATCATGTTTAAGGTCTGTAACCTTAGAAGGAACTATTTTGTTCCACCAGCTTTGTTGCAATAAATCTACAAGATACATAGGGGTGTTTCTTGTTTGGCAGCTATACTTTGATAGCAAATCCTTCCATGTTGCCTTATAGCCATATAGCCTCAGATCTTGCTACACCCTTACTTGGGAGTCTTGTCTGATTGAATTCAGTGGGGCTTGTACCTAAAAATGCTTAGAGACAGGCTGCAGATCAGAAATTAAATCATGTTCACAGTCATTTTTCTTTCTGTAGAATAGTGTTTATGAGACAAGGCAAGAGAAGCTTGAAATGGAAAATCTGCATGTTAATCTGAAAGAGCTACTTCTGTCCTGATTGATGGTTTATCTGTGTAGACGGATGCTGTGTCTCACTGTGTATCCAACCTATGGTAGCTAGCTGTTTATATCCTAGTCTCTTTTTCATAGGGGCAATAGGAAGCTGCCTTATACAGAGTCAAGCTCCATTCCTCCTTCCTGTCCCAGAGCTGCAATTCTCAGAGTCGATAACAATCAGTCTCTCTTCACAGGGAATTCTGCGAATTGTAGGCCTGTGAGGGGAATGGGGTGTGTGTCTCCTAAACAACTCTTTGTTTAAGGTGGTATCGCAGGATTTTAAAATGTATGGTGTTTATGTGGCCCAGGTGCCTCTCCTGCTGCTGGAACCAGCCTCCCCTCAAAAGTAGAGAGGAGGAAGATCGAAAGAGAGGCCTGCCAGAGGATGATTTTCACTTGATCCCCTCCTTTGGGAGAGATGGACTTTAGCTGAGGGGTAGAATATGTGTTTTGTAGTCAGAAAGGCTGAAGCGTGATCCCAGGCAGCTCTGGCTAGCAGGATCACGTAGGTGCTGATAGAAAACACCCGTCCTCAAGAGAGAACTTTAAAGACCCTGCTCAGCCACAGCTGGCAGTGCCAGGCTAGATGGATCAATTTGTCTGACTCTGCACACGACAGCTTAAGATGTAAGGTTTTTCTAGCAGATATTGATCAGTGTAAAGCAGCAGAGACTAACCTGTGGCCTTCCAGATATTGAGCTCCCATTAGCACCAGCCAGGATGGTCCAGCCGTCAGGGGGAATCACCAACGCCAACTGGGAGGCCACAGGTTAGCCACCCCTGGGGTAAGGGAAGCAAGTGTGCTGAAGGAGGTCACCAAGCTGATTGCATTTCCTGGGGTGGGAACATAAAAAGCCTGCTGGATCAGGCCAAGGGCCCACCTAGTTGAGCATCCTGTTCTCCCAAGCAGCTGCCCATGGGAAACCCTCAAGCAGGGCAGGAGTGCAAGATTCTCTGTCCACTGCAATTCGCAGTAGCTGGAATTCAGAGACATAGACTGACAGCGAAGGTAGTTACGCCCTTGTCCCTGTGGACCAGGAAGCTGGATGGAGGAGAATCAAGCAAAGCACTGCTCAGCACAAGGGAACTGGGCCATAGCAGATGTTTTATAACCCTTTGCAACTCCGTCAGGCATAGAAAGCCATGGACAAAGGTGGGTGTGGCCCTGGTTTTTCCTTTTGATCTTGTTCCAGCCAACTGGAAGAATTGTAGACTTTTCCATCTTCTTTAGCTGGCATTTTTTCTCCAGGGTGATGGCTGTGAGCTTGCTTTGAGCACATCCTTTTGTCTTTCCTATTTTTAAAATATAATGGCGGGTATATATTCACGGAGGGCAAAATTGTGGCAATAGATAGCATGCGTAGGAAATGCAGCTGGGCAACACATCTAACACTTGGAATACAGCTTCAAGCAAAGGGAGATGTTCCATGCTGGAAGAAGAGAACCTATCCAGGCCAGAGACCAGCATAGAAGAGTTTGTTCCTGTTCATGATGCTATTTCTTTCCCTTTTGTTTTCTTTTTAACACCTTTTGAGTGGTTTTATAATAATGCACGTCCAGTCGCATGTACCAAATTAATTGCAACAAATAAAATGTTCCAGTTCTTTTCTATAACTCTGCAGCTTCTTCAGTTAAGGTTTTTATTTGAGTCTGTTTCAGCCACTGGGACTGAGGTTTGTTATCTTTGAATGTGTCCCTTCCCACTTCTGTATGGCCCTCAGAACCCTCTGTGGACCAAAACCCCTCATTTCCCTTGCCATGCCCCCTCTTTGAGTGCTTTTGCCTGTCTGGAATATGTCCTTGAGCTGCCATAATGCCTCTTGCTTGCCTGGATGGTGGCTACAGAGGGGTGTGTGTGTGTGTGTCTGTAGAAACCACTGACTCCTGCGTCACTGGAATGTCCAAAGGCAAGACTCAGCTAGCCTTCTGTGCAAAGTGCTCCACCTACTTTTGCCTCTGACCCCACCCACCCCTGGCATATAGCCCTACAAGAAGAATGGGCAGGACCCTTGGAATGAAATGGTCTCACCTACCAATTTCTTGTTCTTAGCTGTTGCCTAGTTCCAGGGACCGTTCTTAACGTAGGACGATGTTTCTGTTGTTTTTAAGCTTTTCTGGATTTCTTTTCTAAAAGCAATGTTGTGGGGCGTTGGATCGGTCCCCTTTGTGAAAGAGCCACAGGAACATCTTGCTGCATTTTGGAATTGGGGTAGAAGGAAATGGCTGAGCATGGGGTCTGTGTGTGTGTGTGTGTGTGTGTGTGTGTGTGTTGGGGACCATCCCTATCTGTCTTATCCTTCTTCCCTTTACACATATCCACCTGCCAGTTGCCTCCCACAATGATCTACCCTAGCAAAAGGCGATTGTGTGGGGAGGAATCAGATGTGCCTTTGAAAGCATCAGATGCTTTCCAGCTATTTAGTTCTTCTGTCTAGGGCCAGTGACCACCTGGGCTGTTGGAATGAGGGAGGGACCTCTGTCACAGGATAGCCATTCAACTCAACAGCTGAAACAGTACTAACAGTACATCTTCGCTGGCATGTCTGTAACATGAACCTGTGTGGCTGGTGTTGACATTTGGCTGGTCCTGTTGTTGTAACAAACAGCAGATGTCTTAATGCTAAGGGCTGTTTGGCCATGGAATATAGAGTGTCTAGGGATGGAGCAGACTTTCCTTTGATGGAGGTGTTTAAGCAGAGGCTGGGTGTCTTGTCAGGGATGATGCATTTGCGGGTGGCTATATATCAGGTGGGGAGAACCTTTGGCTTTCCAGATGTTGCTGAACTCCCGTCAGCCCCAACAGGCATAGCCAGTGGCCAGGTAGGATAGGTGGTGTATTTCAGCAACATCTGGTGGGCCAAAGAATCCCCACACTTGGGGTGCACTGAGATATGGGTAATATTGCATCAATTTCCCTGATCATTATGCTGCCACCTCTGCCAAAGTTTTCTTACATTCTCTTAACCCCACACTCTGTTGTGTTATGAAACTGGCTTTTTGACTGACATAATGGCATAGCATGCTAAAATTCACACTAGTCAGCATGATGTGGTAGAACAATGAATGTCCCTGGACAGTATTGCAAGTCCCGTATCCTTTAGCACATGCATGCTCCTCTTCCCCCATTATTCCTTCCATGAAGGTAGCAGGAAAAAGTTGCATGCTAGAATACTAACCCAAATTTAATCGCTTCCAAGATTTTCTGGGTTTTTGCTTCCAAGATTTCTGGGGGTGTAAACAGTCCCCTCCCCCATCCAAGAATTAAACAACATGGAAATGAATGCTAAATATGTGCTATGTTCCATTAGTTTCCTGGAAGTGGCTTTTATATCATGCAAAAGCTCAGATATAATGCAGAAATTAACAGTTAGGGAATCATCAGGGAAATGGAATAAACTGCCATGTCAATGCAGCGTTGCACTACATAATCTCCCAAGGTATCTTCCAAACTGATTCCTGGGATAGATGTCTCATATGGAACCTTCTTCCCTAGCAGCGAGATTGGAGAAAAAAACGAACCCTGGTGTGACTGAAGCCTTCCATCTCAACAAGATTTACCTGATATTATTTGTTTTTCTTCTTATCTCCCTCTCTCTCCAAGGAGCTCAGGATTGCAAACATAGGTCCTCTATGCCCCCTCCTCATTTTACCCTCACAACAACCCTGTGAGGTAGGCTAGGCTGGACATGGTAATTAGGCCAAAGTTGCTTGGTGACCTCAATGGGAATTTGAATCTATGTCTCCCTGCACATACACACCCAGCTTTCAATCCTAGTCCAACGCTCTCAACGACTACGCCATATTAGCCCCTAGAAGGCACATTTTATTAACAAAAGAAGTAATTGCAACTTAAATAAATAAAGATGGTGCTGTGGTTATTTCATCTGGTTCTCCTCCTCCATTCTCTGACCCTGCAGAAGACACTCTTGTAAGCTGAGAGATAGCTGGGAGCAACACAAGCCGCCTTTCAAAACTATTACAATGGACTGGATGGTGACAGGGAAGAAATCTGATCAGTGGGTGACAGGGCTGGGATGTAGAGATGGTTGGGAATTTTGAGAGGTGTATAAAAAGATCCACTTGTCCCCTGTGAATTGACCTAGATCACAGTTCCATTCCAACAGCATTCCACAAGAAGGGAAGTCCGAGTTATTTTGGTCACACAGCTTCTAGTTGGATGTTGCTGTCCGTCTTTGATGGGGTGCAGCAATATTTCTCACACACTTTGATCAGTTCAGAGAGGAAGAAAACCGAAGAAGCCAAGGCTGCGAGGAACAGCAAATCTACCAAAGATAGAAGGGAAGAAAAAAAGATTCAATCTGTTGCTGATATACAGGCAAGGGTGACATTCACATTATACATTTAAACAGTCATAGCTTTCCCCCAAAGAATTCTGGAAGCTGTCATTTATTAAGGTGCTGAGGATTTTTAATAGGCTCGTATTCCCTTCCCAGAGCTACAATTCCCTGAGAGGAGGGGTTGACTACAGCTGATGCAGGGTCCTCCAGCTGTTAATGGACTCCAACTCCCATCAGCCCCAGCCAGCATTGCCAATGGTCAGGAATGATGGGAGTTGCAGTCCGATAATATGGAGGGCATTCCAAGGCTGTTTGGAGTGTGTGTGTGTGGGGGGGAGATATCATAGTGCTCCCACTAATGTCTTTTTTTGGTGGTGTGGGTGTAATCAGGGATCAATTGGGCTTGTATTCAGAAGAAACTAGGTTGTTCCAGGAGTTTGGAGGGGTGGGGATAATTTGGTTTCCCAAGCCTCAGAGGGGAGAATTCTGTTCATCATCATGCCATCAAATGAGGTCAGGTGTGAGACAAATAAAACCTTAGAGTCTGCTACTGGTGGCTCCTTTGCAAGTACAGCTTCAGCTTGTTCCCCCTCAAACCGCCCCCTGCAACTGCCCCCTAACAAGACCCATATATTCCCACTGCTATTGGGCCAACCTTCCAAGCTCCTGAAAAAGATGGGATAATTGTCAGCCACAGCTACACACTTAAATCTTTTCGAAGAAAAACATCCAATCCTCTTTTAGAGCTTCAGCCATCAGACTTACCTAGTGCTCCTAAATTCTCTGTCTGGAAGATCTTCTGTAGTGGAGGGATGTAAATAACAGCCATTTGACCCAAAATAGACCCCAAGACAGAATACAGGAACATGCGGTTTCGGAAAAGACCAATTTCTAGTATCAGTTTTGTCTGGAGGAGGGGAAAAAATAAAAGATAATTGGGATGGGGAAATCAATCCAACTTTACACATCTCTCCTTCATGAATCTAGCCTGTTATTATCAAAGCAGCTTTTGCGCAAACTCATGATAGAATCAGTTTGGAAAAGATCTTGGAGGTCAACTAGCCTAATCTTCTGTCCAAGTGAAGGATCTGCAAATTGGGATGTAACTACAATAACCCTGACAGATGACCATCCAGTCTCTGCTTAAATACTTCCAGCGATGGAGAACATCCATTGCCCCAATTCAATCCAATGTGATAGGTAGATGTTGATTACAGTAATTGTAATTTGCTGGTTTTACATTGCAGTTTTACATGCCTGTGAATTTCCTTTGCCTCAGTATGGCCACTTTGGGGTTCACTGTAGGCTGTCCATTGACAAAACAACAACAGTTGTATTGATAACACAGACATCCTGGTGTTTATAAGCCGATTCTGCTAGATAGATTAACCTTTGATGTATGGTAATTATACTTCATCAGTTGCATGAAAGATAAAGTGGATGTAGTCCATGAAAGCTATGCTATAACATTTGGAGGTTTCCCCATCCCAGCTGTAATAAATTGGTTAGTCATTGAAGTTCTACAAGCCTCCACTTAAGAGGTTGTCTGTGTCCCCGTTCCACCACTCACCTCCCCGACCAGGGAAGAATGGCAGACCAAGTTGATGGACTATGCTGAAATGGCAAAATTAACTGGAAAGCTCAGGAACCAAGAAGGCAAGAACTTTAAAAAAGAATGGGGGAAATTTATAATTTATTTAGGAGACCATTGTAAGCAGATGAAAACATTAGCAGGATTTTAATCTCACTTGTAAGGAAACAAAGACTATAGACAATTTAGATGGATAAAAAAATGTTGATAATGGACTGATAGGCAGATGTAAATATTGACATTAGGAGGATGGAGGGGAGTCATGAGAGTCAGAGTAATCTCATTATGTGGATTTTGTTATAAGTTTATATCCTTTAAAATCAAATAAAAATCATTTTTTAAGAAAGATGTTGTCTGTCCCTTGGGTTGAGAGGGGGAGTTCCCTTTATTAATACTTTAAGCATAAATAATAGGGAATCTTCTTTTGCTGACAGACACACTCCTCTTTGGGCTTAGCAACCAACACCTCTCTTACCTGGGAACGACATGTCAGGGCGTTGAAGAGGTCAAAGAACACAAAGCAAGTGAAAGTCATTGTTGTGGTCCGTGGCGTTATGCCACTTTCCGGGATCTGAAAAAACGCAAGTGAGAAAACTCAGTCGTAAGAGAGGCGAGGGAGGGAGTGTGGATGTTTGGAGAATGCGCAAAGTCAGCCCTCCCATCTCACAATGAGCCCTTTGTTTGTAAAGTCACAGTCACCTTGAAAGCTGGCCTTTCTTCTTTTTTCGAGGGAAGATTAGAAGGCCCTGCAGTGCCAAGGAGCCTTAAATCTATATGCGATGATTGATGGGCTACAGGGAAATAATTAGAAGCCAGGCGAAAAAAGAAGAGAAGGAGTGTTCTGTAGCCCATTCCTACTGCAACCTTATGATTTTGATTTGCAGTGTGTGCTGTTTTCTTACAAGGGTGAAAGACATGATTGGAAGAGATATCTATAACAGAAGAAAAACCCTGTTGGGTCAGGCCAAAGACCCATCTCGTTTAGCATCCTGTTCTCACAGTGGCCAGCCAGATAGCTAAGGGAAGCCCCAAAGCATGACTTGAGCACAAATGCACTCCACCCACCTGTGATTCCCAGCAACTGGTATTTGGAGGAATCACTGCCTCTGATACTGGAGGTACTGCAGCCATCATGACTAGTAACCCTTGACAGCCCTGTCTTACCCTCTTTTAAAGGTGGTGAAAACCTTTTCTACTAGTAGCAACTTTTAAAGGACCTGAAGGAGTGTCTCCACCCCCATCGTTCTGCCTGGACGCTGAGGTCTAGCGCCGAGGGCCTTCTGGCAGTTCCCTCATTGCGAGAAGCAAAGCTACAGGGAACCAGGCAGAGGGCCTTCTCGGTAGTGGCACCCGCCCTGTGGAACGCCCTCCCATCAGATGTCAAAGCGATAAACAACTACCTGACATTCAGAAGACATCTTAAGGCAGCCCTGTTCAGGGAAGTTTTTAATGTGTGATATTTTAGTGTATTTTTGGTCTCTGTGGAAGCCGCCCAGAGTGGCTGGGGAAACCCAGCCAGATGGGCGGGGTACAAATAATAAATTATTATTATTATTATTATTATTATTATTATTATTATTATTATTAAAAATGCTTCTTTTGTTGTAACCAAATTTATGCACCGCTTGTTTGTACTAAAGTTGCATGCTAAAATTATCAATTAAAAGCACTTTTTAAAAGAGGTATTTAAACACTTTCAAAAGATTATTAAAATCAACAGTACTCTACAAAGAGATTAATTCCCAGACTGGGTCCCTCTAACCAAGGGAGCCCTGGTAGCCCTGGGAGGGGAATAGGGAGCGTCCTAACCACTCTCAACACCTTAAACAAATTCAGCTCCCAGAATTTGGGGAGGGGGGAGCTGCGACTGTTGAAAGTGTTACCATAGTGCTTTAAATGTTTGGTGTGAGTGTGCCCTTAGTTACTGCTTGTTTGGAGCACAGATGCAAGTGCCACATCCCCTTTCTCACCTCTTTCCAAAAGACAAACATGGTTCCACTGATTATAACGGTGGCTGACAGGAAGATCTTCAGAATCAGAGACCTGCTGAGAATCGTATCAGTGATGCTCCTTGGAGGTTGCTTGATGGCATCTTTGTCCACTGGTTCAACACCCAAACTGTTTGCCAGGCCCAGAAAAGAAAAACACACACAAAAAAACCCAAGCCATTGTTTTATTAGCACAGATTCATTAGCTTTTTTATTTTTCTGGGAAGAAATAGGCAACTTGCACAAGGAAACCACAATGTAAAGTACTCAGTGAACGACCTGTACTGACCATTCTGTTTCCTCTGAAATCTAAGAGTTCTGTGACTCAAGGACACCAGTTGGGCTACAGCACTGTCAGCCCAGACAGGAAGCTGACTCCCAAAAGCCAGTCCTTACCCACCAAGTCCAAATGTCTACCTCAGAGCCCACTCACTGGTCCAAACGGTTTGTCTCTGGTCCAACAACATTGCCTGATCTCCAGCATCCTTTTCCTGATTGGAACCAAGCTACTTTCTAACACACACACACACACACACAAACCAAATTTTGGCCCTACCACTAGACCTCCAAGGTTTCTTGGTCCAGGGGACCAGAGAAGCCAGTGCCATCAGAGACAGAGTCTCCAATGATGGATCTCCTTCTCCTGATGTCAGAGCTGTCGGAGAGGTAAATCTGCAGTGAGGTGCCCTCCCAAGAACCTTGAGAATTGTGAAGGCTTCCAGTGTGAATCCTGACCCCCCCCCCGGCCAATCTTCCTGTGTCCTCACCTTTGTGCTGGGGGCCCATCCATTATGATATTGATCCACAGGATTTGCATAGCGTTGAGCGGGTTTGGCAAATTGAAGACTGTTGACAGAGCAATCAAACTCAGTGCCGAGATACTCCTGCCGTGAACACAATGAGTGAGTGAGTTAAGTCTTTACGGATATTCTGTGGCCCCGATAGTGGTTGATTCTTATGTGGTTTAAGCACTGGCGGAGGAAGCCACTTGGGCACCCAGGGCGGTGCGAGGTGCCCATAGGGGCAGTACGCTCTGTGGGGCCTCCAAGGAGTCTGCCTGCCTCCTCCCACTCAGCCGCCCTACAGCTGAGGGGGAGGCGGCGGGCGGACCATTTGGGGCAGCATGGAGCCTGCGGGCTCCCAAGCCACCGTGTCACTCCAGGAGGGACGCGTGGCTCAGACATGCTACAGGCTCTGCGGTGAGTGCCACCTGGCATTTTGTCACCCCCCTCAGTGATGACACCTGGGGTGGTCCGCACCCCCCTTCCTCCGCCCCCGGGTTTAAGTCAAGAACGACTTACGTGCTGAGCTGAAACCGAACAAAATTTTTAATGTTGTAAAAGATGCCCTTTCCTTCCTCGATTGCACTCCTGTTGGGGGAAAAGGAATAGTGTGTAAACTGATATCCATTTATGGGACAACCAAGCTCTGGATTTTGGGGGAAGCAGGAACTGCCAGTGCTGCTGAAAGGGCTCATCCACACTTTGTTTCTAGGCACAGCCAGGTCCATGGTTTCAAGCTCTATGTCTGAGCAACTTTTCCTCCTTGCTGCTTTCCCCAGGAAAACCTGCTCTTTAACACTGAATTGGAACAAACAGCAATTTGGAGTTTCCATGGACTGTCATTTGTTCCGATTCAGAGGTAAAGAGAAAGTGCCAGAGGGTGGTGGTGGTAGTGCTTGGACAGGGAGCTTTAAAGTGTTGGCATGTGCCTAGAAACACAACACAAAAGGGAGTCTGGATTAGCCCTAAGTGCAGAACAACCAGTGAGGCAAAGATGAATTGGGACCACGTATTTCACAGCAGGGGCAATGACATCATTTCCTGAAATGCTGGTGGGAAGATAACGAGGAGGGAGCCAAGCTAACCTTTCTTGAGAAAGAAACCCACAATGTGGGAGCAGCCACAGAAAAGACTCTCACTCTTTGGACTACCAACCATGCTTTTGACATTGATGGTCATTCTAGGGGTCCTACCAGCATGTGCGCATAGCCCTCATCTTGCCACCACCCAGCCCAATCCAGCCAAGCGACAACAATAGCAGGTCCAGGACGTAGGCTGTTTGTGCTCTGTGCTGTATGTCATGTTTTATCATGCTGGTTCTGTTTTTAGGTTTGAATGCTGTTGCTAATGTTTTGTGCTCTTCTTCCAGAGAACTTATTTTATGAGGTGTCTCATAAATATAGTGAATGACTAAATCAGCTCCCCCTGCTGAAACGAATGTAGAAGCCAGAGCAAGATGAGAGATGCTGGGATGTCTGATGTGCCTCTTAAGAGCCACCTACATGATGGTTGAGAAGTCGTCATCGACAAGGATCATGTTTGCCGCCTCCTTGCTGACATCTGTGCCCGCCTGCCCCATTGCAACCCCAATATCAGCAGATTTCAGAGCCACTGCGTCATTCACTCCATCTCCCGTCATCCCCACGATGGCGCCGGTCTGTTGCAAAGCCTGTGAAAATGGCAAATGGATACAAAATTCAGCACGTATCTATGTGGTCTTGGCCTCTCCATAATATAAAATGTCAAACACAGTAGTTTTCTAACTTTCAATAAAGAAAAAAAAAGTAAATTAAAACCAAAGAAACCAAAATGCAGTACACAGGAAGACAATCTGGAGAGATTAGCCATTTAGAATTTGGGCTTTCAGCAGCAGTGGGAATTAACAATTCTAGCTGAAAGGATAAATGGGGATTGGTTAAGAAACAAGCTTTTATTAGGTATTATTTTGCTCATGCAATCAGTTTTAATTTAAGGATGCATCTTCATGCAAATGTGATCAGCAGGATCAAACCCAACCAATAATACGAAGAATTGTTGAATGTTGCCAGGAAAAATTCCAGACCAGCCAATCAGGGCACACATTTTTTTAATGCTGCCTGTAATAGTCCCAGGCCAGCCAATCAGGGTACTTACAGAGGCTCACTTAAATGAAGACATGCCTACACTTGATTACCACTTTCATGATCTTTACAATACGTGACCAAAGTGACAAATCAGCAAATCACCCAACCCTCGAAGATCACAGCAAGTGAGAAGTGACTGTGCTTGGCTAGACAATTGTACCATTGTCAACCAACAGGAGCAGCAACCACCAAAACAGAGAGAGAGAGGCAGGGTTCATTTCTCCCCTTCATGAGACAAAGGGATGTGGAAGAGTAGGAGGAAATGCACAGATAGTTTCAGGAAACATTGAATGCATTTCCACTGGCTTTTTTTTTTTTTAAGCAACTAATAAGTTTAATAAATAATAATGATGTAATTCACTGCCTAGTGCAGCCTTTCCCCTGCCAGTTGTTCTTCAGTTGTTACTGGGCTACATCTCCCCCTAGCTCCAGCCAGTGTGGCCATTGTCAGGGATGATGGGGATTGTAGTCCAAAGCATCCAGAGGGCACTGGATTGGGGGAAGCCTGGCCTAAACCATGGATCCAGAAACTGGACTTTTCCAGCTGTATTTTGTGGTGGTTATTGCTAGAAGATGTAGTTCTGAGCACTGAAAGGCAAGGAAGATACACCTTGATTTGCAATTGCTGCTTCAGTTCTCCTTTATAGAAATTGATTCCCCAACTCCCTTATCTACGGCAAAGAACCAGCAGAGAATGATTCCCAGAACGAGTTGCAGGAAAAGAGAAGCTGTAGAAGGAAAATGTAATTTGAACAGAAGTGGGCAAATCTGAAGCAAAGTAGTGATCACCATGGTGCAGAAATCAGAACTAGCTTCTCTGGGAAAGGGACAGACTTGTGGCTTGTTTGGGGTCAGCAGATACCTTTATGATTTTAAGTTTGTGTTTTGGACTTGTTCGGAAGAAGATGGAAACCTGGATGATGAGGAGAGAGAGAGAGAAAGCAGATCTATGTGAGACGGCTGGGGTTTTAAGAATGAGCACACACCATGCGTTTTGGAACCCCTTCAAAGCGCCATTACATTTTTGACAGTTGATGACAGTGCTGATTCTGTGGTGTTCTCCAGTTCCTCCCCAGACATAGCTTTCATTTTCCCATTGCAGAGGCCGATATTTCGTCCTATGAAGGAAAGGGAAAGGATATGGCTGACCATCCCAATTGAGGCAGAGACGGCATTTGACAAGGGATTTCTGACAGAAACATTCCACCAAAGTCTACTTCTAGGTCACCAAGTTGTCACCTAGCCTTGCCCCTGGAGCATCCAGCCTCGTGGGAGCAGAGGCAGATATCTGAGATGCAAAAATGTGTACAGCAAGAAGGGAAATGGGCAGTAGAGAGAATCAGCTGCGATGTTCAGCGCGATACAATGAATTGTGTTTCAGTGTAAGCAGAACATAAGAAAAGCCCTGCTGGGTCAATGGCCCATTGAGTCCAGCAACCTGTTCTCACAGTGGATGATAAGATGCCTTTTGAAGTCTGCAAACAGGACCTGAGTATAACAGCATCCACATCACTTGAGCTCACCAGCAACTGATATTTAGAAGCATATTGCCTCTGACAGTGGAGGAAGAACATGGCACTGGTAGTGTTATCCTCCATGAATTTGTCCAAACTCTCCTTTATAGTCATCTCAGTTGGTGGCCACCACTACTTTCTGCGGGAGCAATTTCGATCATTTAACTACATGCTGTGTAGAGAAGGCCTTCCTTTTGCCTTTGGCTTCATTGAATGGCCCTGAGTTCTGGTATTATAAAGGTAAAGGGACCCCTGACCGTTAGGTCCAGTCGCGGACAACTCCGGGGTTGTGGTGCTCATCTCACTTTATTGGCTGAGGGAGCTGGCGTACAGCTTCCAGGTCATGTGGCCAGCATGACTAAGCCGCTTCTGGTGAACCAGAGCAACGCACAGAAACGCCGTTTACCTTCCCGCCGGAACGGTACCTATTTATCTACTTGCATTTTGACGTGCTTTTGAATTGCTAGGTTGGCAGGAGCAGAGACTGAGCAACAGGAGCTCACCCCATTGCGGGGATTCAAACCGCCGACCTTCTGATCGGCAAGCCCTAGGCTCAGTGGTTTAGACCACAGCGCCACCCGCGTCCCTTCTGGTATTATAAGAGAGGGCAAAAGAAAACAACCAACTTCCCACTAGCTGTTCTCTCTCCTTTGTGCATAATTTTATACACCTCTTTCACGTCTCCCTCCTTTACTTGTCCTTTCTCTAAAGCCCAAAGCCCAAAAAGTTGCAAGAAGGTGGCATGGTTTATCTTGCTCACCAATGGCGAGGGCTGTTTCCAAGGCATCTCCAGTTATCATTTTCACCGAAACTCCTGACTCAATGAGGACTCGAACAGCTTCCTTCACTCCATGCCTTGGAGGGTCGATGATTCCCACAAGACCTAAAAATGTCAGCCTGCCCAGTTCTGGACCGGAAGCCAGGGCAAGCACTAGGAAGGATCAGAGAAAATGACAACAGACCAGGTTATTTCATGCTGCCACTCAGAAAGGGAAAGGGGCATAACTCAGTGGTAGAGAATCTGCAGAAGGTCCAAGATTCTCTCCCCAACATCCCCAGGTAGGGCTTAGAGTGACTCCATGCCTGAAGCCCTGGACGGACAGTGCCAGTCTGTGTAGAAGATGATATTGAGCTAGATGGACCAATGGTCTGACACTGTATAAGAAAGCTCCAGATGTGGTTGGACTACAACATGCGTCAGCCTCAGCCAAAATGGTCAATGGGCACGGATGATGGGCATGCAGGCCAACAATATCTGGAAGGCATCAGGTTGGCTACTCCTAAGCTAAAAGAACACAAGCATGAAAATATCTCAAGTCAAGAAGTGCTTGGTTCTTATAAGCCCAGGCGAGAGGTGTGTGTGTGTTCCCCAGGTGTTTCTGGGATGGGCAGAAGCTACACTGCAGCATAAGATAGGAAGGCAGAGTGTAGCGGTACAGGCTCCAGGTGGCAATGCGGTTGGGCTGTGGCTCAGGGGAAAATGGTCCAACCTCCAGCATCTCTGTGTGGGGCTGCAAATGTCCCAGACGGCTTAGGTCCAGACTATCTGAAGGACCGAATTCTCCCATACAGACCTGCCTGGACTCTGAGATCTTAAGCAGAGGCCCTTCTCTCAGTCCTGCCACCCTCACCGGCATGTTTCATGGGAACGTGGGAGAGGGCCTTCTCAGTGGCTGGTCTCAGGCTTGGAATGCCTTTCCTAAAGAAGCTTGGCCAGGTCCCACCTTGTTGTCCTTCTGCCTTTGGGGAACTGACTGCTTTTAAGGAAATAGCTCCTAGTACTATGGTTCCACCCTCTTTGTTCAATTGCTTTTTAATCCTGACTTATTACATGTTCTTAGCTATGTGTGTTTTATCTGTATTTAATTTTTGTGATCTGCCTTGAGACCCAGAAGAATGTAAGGATGATACTGATGGCTCTTGAAGACGCACGGTTGGTCAGTATCAACCATTCTGAGCCAGAGGGGTCAAGGGTCTAACATGGCATACGGCAGCTTCCTCTGTCCTTCAGCATTCAGGTGCCTGGTGTTTGTGTGTGTGGAATAACAAGCTGGAAGGGATGCAGTCCAGATGCCCAGCTTGTCAACCCACACAAGACTCAAGCAAGCATAGGGGTGGGATGAGCTACAGCCATGAACTGACCCCTCAGGCCAAGTGATCCCATGTGCTTCTCTTCCTGAACATAGACGGACTTCTGCTGCGGTGTCATTGGGAGGGAGATGCCGCCGCTGTTATACATGGTGCAATGCTGCATCACTTCTTCAAAGGCCCCCTTCATGAAGTAGACTTCTTCTTGCCCCTATGAAACGAGGAAAAGAACAATTGAGGCAGGGCCATAGCCTAGTGGTAGAGCATCTTCTTTGCATGCAGAAAGTCCTGAGTTCAGTCCTCAGCACCCTCAGGTTGGGGCAGAGAGAGATTGAGATCACAACATCTCTCATCACAACAAATCTCTGTGTGTTGTGTTTTGCCTAGTTCTACCACAGTAGGGACGCGGGTGGCGCTGTGGGTAAAAGCCTCAGCGCCTAGGGCTTGCCGATCGAAAGGTCGGTGGTTCGAATCCCCGCGGCGGGGTGCGCTCCCGTTGCTCGGTCCCAGCGCCTGCCAACCTAGCAGTTCAAAAGCACCCCCGGGTGCAAGTAGATATAGGGACCGCTTACTGGCGGGAAGGTAAACGGCGTTTCCGTGTGCTGCGCTGGCTTGCCAGATGCAGCTTTGTCACGCTGGCCACGTGACCCGGAAGTGTCTCCGGACAGTGCTGGCCCCCGGCCTCTTAAGTGAGATGGGCGCACAACCCTAGAGTCTGTCAAGACTGGCCCGTACAGGCAGGGGTACCTTTACCTTTTTACCACAGTGGTAGGGACGCGGGTGGCGCTGTGGATTAAACCACAGAGCCTAGGACTTGCCGATCAGAAGGTCAGTGGTTCAAATCCCCGTGACGGGGTGAGCTCCCGTTGCTTGGTCCCTGCTCCTGCCAACCTAGCAGTTCGAAAGCACGTCCAAGTGCAAGTAGATAAATAGGTACCACTCCGGCGGGAAGGTAAACGGCGTTTCCGTGCACTGCTCTGGTTCGCCAGAAGCGGCTTGGTCATGCTGGCCACATGACCCGGAAGCTGTACGCCAGCTCCCTTGGCCAATAAAGCGAGATGAGCGCCGCAACCCCAGAGTCGGTCACGACTGGACCTAATGGTCAGGGGTCCCTTTACCTTTGCCTTTACCACAGTGGTACCTTTGGTTACTGTCAGGGGCTCAGGAGCAGAGGCACAGGAAAGGGAGGAAATAGAGAGCGAGGGGGAGGAATCCGAAGGAAATGTTAGCGATGACAGCGGCCCGAGGTCTCTGAGTCTTTCCAGCGAATCGGAAGATTCACAGAAAGGGGCTCCCATGGTCAGAGCAAGGGGGGTGCCTAGGGGGACACCCCAGGAAGAAGGGGCCAGAGGGGACTCAGAGAGCAGCAGTTGGAAATCAGGACCAGCTTCCCCACCAGAGCGCAGTAGGGGGGAGGAGTCCCAGGTATCGGGATCAGGCGGCTCACCGCCAGCGGGAGGAGATGAATCAGGATTGGCCACGCCTCCATCGGAGAGCGAGGAAACGGTCAAGAGGAAGGTTGGAGGCTGGGCGCGCGCGCCAAGTTCAAATGTACAGGAGGGCGGCGCAGTTGGTAGCCCGGATAGGGAGCCAGGTCCTAAAGCCCGCCGAAAGGAGGGACAGGAGTCAGGGGGGTCAGCGTCAGCGTCAGAAGAGTCCAGAAAGGAGGAGACCCCGGGGGCAGAAGGACCCAGAGGAGAAAGGAGAGACGGAAGAGGTGGAGTAAGGTTAGAGCCTTAAACTGGTGTACAGGGGGTGGAGACTCAGATGGAGCTTCGCCGGTCTAGCTTCTAAGACGTAGAGCTGCGCGCTGCGGCTTGAAAATGGAAACTGTACTTCAATAAAGACTTTTGTACATTACTACCGGCTAGCGTTGGTTCTCTGTGAGCTGGGACCTGGAGGCAGCTCTGACAGTTACGTACTTAATTTATTCCAGAGGTCCGTTCTTAAACTGAAACTGTTCTTAACCTGAAGCACCACTTTAGCTAATGGAGCCTCCCACTGCTGCCTCACCACCGCTGCACGATTTCTGTTCTCATCCTGAAGCAAAGTTCTTAATCCGAGGTACTATTTCTGGGTTAGCGGAGACTGTAACCTGAAGCGTCTGTAACCTGAAGCGTATGTAACCCGAGGTACCACTGCATTTTCTAGACCTACATATTCCCCTTTCAGAACTACAATCTGCCGAGTGGTTTAACAATCAGTCCCTCTTAACAAGGTTCTCTGGCAATCTTAGCTCTGTGAGGGGTGTTTTAACAGCTCTCAGCACCCTTAATGAGCTACAACTGCCAGAATTCTTTGTATCATAGTGCTTTAAATGCCTGGTGTGAATCTGGTCTGTTGCACCTATTGCAAAAATGTCTATGGAGTTTTTCAGAGTGACATAACACACAGAAAAACAGACAGGTTGATGATTTCCAACCATCAGTGCCACACCATGCATGATTAGAATGCTGGACTTGGATGGAAGAGACGCGTAGGTTCAAATCCACTCTCAGCCTTGTGACGTTCTTGGGACAGGTACTCCAATTTCTCTGAGTCTAAGCACCTTCACAGGTTTCTTGTGAGAGTAAAACTGGGGTGAATGAATGAGGGAGAGAGAGTGGGATAAAAATGTAATGTGTACTGACTGATCACAACTTGATTCCAGTGGCGTATCATTATTCTTTTTCTTTTTCAAAAAATAATCACAGATAACAAAAAACAAGTTGCTTGTTTTTACCTGGTTTTTCAGAGCACATTTGACTGCCATCCACTTCTGCTCTGAGCTAAATGGGATCTCCTTCTTCCTTATATAGATGTCTTTTATATCACTCAGTTCCATCTAAAAAGGGGGGGATCGTGTGGAGAGAGAGGACCAGGGCTTTAGCACTTAATAATTCTATACATACAGGAGCGGTAGAGCTCAAAAGGGATGACTACCATTCAATTTGAAATCTGACAGGTTTTCATATGCTGAACGTTAATGACAAAATGCTTGTTGAAACCCTGGAGAGCTACTGCCACTCAGTGCAGACAATACTGAGCTAGATGGGTGCAATGGTTTTACTAGGTTTAAGGCAGCATCTTGGGCTTCCAAGTTCTGATGTTTTTGAAGTGTGACTCAGGCAATATTTAAATACAGTTGCATCGCTTCCCATTTGCCACATGGTAAGAAGTTCTCAGGACCTGTCCCCCCCCTTTCCTTTCCAGAGAGGGGTCAGTGGAAGCTTTTGGTGACCTGCAATATTTGCTTTATTACAAATGAACAGGGATGGCAAACATTTGGCCCTCAACAACAGCTGTGTTCTCCTTCCACTGCTGGAGGCATCAATCCCAGGTTCTGGGAGTCGTAAGTGGAGAAAGCTGCTGTTGCGCTCAGACCCTGCTTGCAGGCTCCCCATACAAATCTGGTTGGCCCAGACTGAGCCAAGGGCCAGATAGAGAGGCTTGAGGCAACCTCTCCCATGATCCTCCCCATCGGTTTCCTTCAAAACACTCTAGAGGGATCTCCAGTTTTCAAGAGACCATTTCCTAACCCATTGATTGAACCACCACCCAGAGGTGTAGCTAGAGCACCACACCGTGGGGGCGGCACCACAGGGCCTGCAGGGTGCCCGAGTCATGTGTCTGTCCTGGGAGTGACACAGTGGCTTAGATGCCTACAGGCTCTGAGCTGGCAGAAACAACAGAGTGGAGTTTGCATCTGCCTGCCACCTCCCCCCCCTACAGCTGAGGGGGAGGGGGCAGCAAGGCTCCATGCAGCACACCCTGCTCCGGCTTGCTCCGTCCCATGGGCGGTTCACCCCACCCTGGGTGCAGGGCATGCGCGCCACCCCAGGCGCCTGAGCAGCTAGCTACACCACTGCCACCACCCAACCATCCCAGGCTATCAGTCACTCTTCCACTTAACAAAGGAGTGTCCCTAAGGATACCATCTTGCCCAATGCAACACCTATATCAAGGAGATGAAGGGAAACCATTTTTACTGTGTGACATGGTCCAAGAAGGTGGGTAGAATACTGTATTTTTCTGTCTATAAGACGGCCCCATGTATAAGACACCCCCTATTTTGGGGGACGCGGGTGGCGCTGTGGTCTAAACCACAGAGCCTATGGTTTGCTGATCAGATGGTTGGCGGTTCGAATCCCCGCAACGGGGTGAGCTTCCGTTGCTCGGCCCCTGCTCCTGCCAACCTAGCAGTTCGAAAGCACAACAAAATGCAAGTAAATAGGTACCGCTCTGGAAGGAAGGTAAATGGCATTTCTGGGCGCTGCTCTGGTTCGCCAGAAGTGGCTTAGTCATGCTGGCCACATGACCTGGAAAAACTGTCTGTGGAAAAATGTCGGCTCCCTCGGCCAGTAAAGTGAGATGAGCGCTGCAATCCCAGTGTCGTCCATAACTGGACTTAACTGTCAGGAGTCCCTTTACCTTTACCTTTTATTTTGGGGGACTCAGATTGAAGAAAATGGGGGGAGATGGCTGAGAGTATAAGATGCCCCCTAATTTTTGACATTATTTTTTAGGGGAAAAACCTAGTTTTATACACAGAAAAATACAGTAAATATTTCCACTGGGCACATTTCCTTACACTTATTGAGTTTTGAGGATCACTGCCAAGATCACTAAGTCAGGTTGCTCTCTGGCTGCCTTAGGTTTATAATACTATAATTCTGCTGTTGATAAATGGGCAGATCAGCTGAATGCTAAATTCTCTCTCTCATTTTTGGCAACCATGGTAAGATACCTTACCGGATCAGCTGAAGACTAAATCCTACCTTCATTTTTTGGCAACCTTGCTAAGCCATTACAAATTAAACAGAGCCGATTAAATCTAAAACTTAATAAGCACCCGGGGCTTGCAACAGCCACCCTACCTTCATTGCCAGGGCTATCAGGGCCCCTTCAGTCGGCTGCCCCATCACAGTCGTCTTCCTGATGATTGCATTGTTGGCAACACAGCCAGCCTGAAAGAGATTTGCTTCTTTGTGACATTTGTTGAGGAAATGAATCAAATGACTGTTATGCTTAAGCCCTGGGCTCAGAGATTGCTCGGTTGCAAGTGTGATGAGTTTGGGGGGCTGGGATGAGTAGGCTGCATGCAGAGATACTTCTAACCTCTGGCTCCAGCAAGTGTTGTAAGGCAGGCTGATAGCCTGCCTGGGTGATGGGCCATTAAAGGAACAAAGGAAGTGGATCTGTGTGAGATGGTAATGGGTGCCCCCCCCCATTCGTGGGTAGTTAGAAAGACAAAGACAGAGTTGAGAGCAGAGAGTTTGGAGTGATGTGAGCTAGAAGAAAAACAGCAAGCCTGAGAGAGAGAGGGAAAGAGAGATTCTGTTAGAATCTAAGACACTGGCTATGGGAGGAAGCAAGGCCCTCTTGGGGTGTTAATGCTGTGAACCCCTCCAGCATTTACTCAGGTTGTATATATGTACAAATAATCCACATTTAATAAAGACACCCCGGTCTCCACTATGCCTCATTTCAAAAGAAACACAAACCCTGGATAAGCACCTGGAACTCCCACAATCTCTCATCGTTTGGAGATTGGGGTGGCATGCAACACAAGCAAGGATTGAAGTCTGTGGTGCCATCTTTTGGGCCGGGGTAGGAAACCTTTGGACCCTTGGCTTAAATTCCAAAGTCCTCTGCAAGTGATCAGGTTAGACATCTGCCAAGAGTGATCTGTCTGTTCTGTATCAGCTCAGTGGGTAGGGAGAGAAAGGGGAGTCAGAAAGAGAGAGAGAGAGAGAGAAGGGGTGGTCCTACCTACTTTGCCTCCCACCTACTACTGGTTCAGCCCACTGCTTGCCAATACGCACCCTCCACTCCAGTTACTGTTGAGGCACGATTGCCCTTAGCAGTCAAAAGGTTGCCCACCCCTGTTCCATCAACACTGGAAGTCTTATCACATTGGTTCTTTAGCCCATCATGTCTACTCTGCTCCTCCTACGAAATAATAATAACCCCGGCAAATAACTTACCTCCACTAATTTCCCCACAGAGATGTTTGAAAATTCCTTGATGACTTCTCTGGAGGGTAAGAGACACACATCTCCTTCTCTGTTGTACCCAACTCCGCTCACCTGGAAGAACAGAAATCCAGAAGACACCTGCAGAGGACATCCAACTCTATGGCCAGCTGACATTATTTAATGTCGGAAAGAGGAGGGTACATTTGGAGACACGGATATCTTGTTAAGGAAAGCGGGCAGAAGTACTGGCATTTATGGATTGAAGTTAATTGGCAAAGTGAATCAGTAGTCCACTGGAAGTGAAATTATGGGTTTATGAGTGATAATAAGGGAGAGGGTTTTTTTCTTCCAGTTTTGGGCTCCCCATCTACGAAATACTTTCCTTATCAAGGCCAGTTTTGGGCTCCCCATCTATGGAATACTTTCCTTATCAAGGCCCATCTGGTACTGACATTAACATCCTTTGGGTGCCATTTTAAGGCATGATTGTTCCCTCAAGCATTTGAGAGTAGATTATTATTATGATGCTCATTGCTCTTTCTGTGCTACTTTTTTTGGCGCGGGGAGGGCATTGTTGCTTTATTATTAAGCTTGACAGTTGTTTTAAATTATGTATGTCAGTTACTAGAGATGTTTTGAACCAGGCAACAAATAAATCAGATTAATATTCATTTTATTTATTTTATATTCTGCCTCTCTCCTCATTGCAGGACCCAAGACATTTCACAGCATAAATCATAGGCAACTGAAAACACATGACAAATGAAAGTATTTTCTTTAAAAAAGCAACCAAAAACAAATAAGTAACCCTACTTAAAACAGCACTGAAACCGTTTAAAAGCACATTGCTACCCTTGTCATCTCATAAAAAGACAAGCTCAGAGTGCTATCAACCAAGGAGGCTTATAGGTTCAGAGTTGTCTTGTATTACAACTGACAACTTTGTCCAAACCGCTGACTGTACCTCTGCCTTGAATCCATCCGAGGTGACGAGCTGAGTGACAGTCATTTCATTGGCTGTCAAGGTCCCGGTCTTATCAGAGCAGATAACATTGCAACAGCCTGAGGAGAAGAGAGGATTTGTCAGAACAGAGGTTGCGCTCACAGGCATGTGTGCGTGTGCGTGTGTGTGCTGCTAAGCATTCACATGTGCTGGATAAGAACCTAAGAAGAGACCTGCTGGATTAGACGAAAGGCCAATCTACCCCAACATCAGATGACCATAGGAAGCCTGCAAGCAGATCTGAGTGCCACAACACCCCCTGCACCCGTGATAACCTGAAAACTGGAATCTAGAGCATATACTGCTTCCAACAGTGGAGGTAGAACCACCATACTTAGTAGCCATTGGTAGCCTTATCCTCCATGAAATTATCTAATGCTCTTCTAAAGCCATCCAAACTGATGGCCACCATTGCCTTTTATGGGACTGAATTCCACAGTTTAACTATGTGCTATGTGCAGAAGTCTTTTCTTTTGTCTGCTCTGAATATTCCAACATTCAGCTTCATTAGAACACCCAAAGTTCTAGTATTATGAGAGAGTGAGGGAAATGCCTCCCTCACATTAAATGAACGGGTGGAAAGAATGACAGTGGAATCAGCCACAGAGTTAGCAAATCCAGTTTTGCTAACACCCACCCCATGACCCGCCTTCATGCGCATGGTGCTCTTACCTAGAGTTTCTACAATTGGCAGCTTCTTCACAATGACTCGTTTCTTGGCCATCCTCAAGACGCCCAGGACTAAGGTCACCGTGACCACGATGGGGAGGCCCTCTGGGATTGCAGCCACCGCTAAGCTGCACACACAGAATCATTTACCACTGGTGTTACACACCACCATCCTCACTAACTCCTGTAAGGAAGTATATGCAAGCATCAACTTGCTCCAGGGCCCTGATGCTGAAACACATTAAGACCTGCCTTTTCATGGGCCCTGGATGCCTCTTTCAACACTTGAGCCTCAGGCTCAGTTGCAGAAAGGACAGTAAAGCATCTGCAGAAGGCCCCATGTCCAGTCCCTGGCATCTCTAAGTAAGGCTGGGAGAGGCCCCTGTCTGACACCCTGGAGAGCCACTGCCAGTCAGTGTGGACAATACACTGAGCTCAGTGGAGCAATCATCAGACTCTACGTGGAAGGCTGCTCCCTTTGTTCCTATGCCCAGTGGAGCTTTGCAGACGTCCATCGGAGGCAGGGCTGTTTGCAGTCTCGTGCCAGCATTGCAGAATGCAGAATGCAAAGCCTCATTTGGGCTTAACCAATTGGTCCAATTTCTTTGTATGTTGACTCTGAAGTACTCTCGCTTTTTCTGTCCTAAATCTCTGGCCAATCCATTGTATTATATGACCCTGAGCTTTTTTTATATGTAACAGAGGAAGGAAAGGTTTTCCATTATAGGGGTGGGGGACCTTCCCCCCTCTTTCTCAGACACTCACTCAGTACACTTTGCTTTCCCTGGTATGGCAATTGTGAACAGAGCAAGTGAGACATCAGTCAGTCAGTGCAGAGAACATGACCTCCAAAAAGCACCAGGGTCTGGATTCCAGAGTCTAGCCAGTCAGATTTGGCTCACAAGCTGGAGATTCCCCATCCCTGGTCTAGTATGAAAATACTTTCTGGCCTGCCATCAAAACACAGAAGTGTAGGGGCCAGATGGTCTGTTGGTGGAGAGCTCTGCAGCCTGTGTGCCACCACTAACAAAGCCCTGATCTTCAGGTGCAAATATTGGTGAACAAGAGAATACAGAACAAGGCAACATTCATAGCCCTTAAGGGACAGAGGGACTGTGCAGGAAAAGAAGACAACTCTGGCTGGTCCACTTTAGTGTTACTTTTATTCAACAGCGTCTGCCCTCCATTGACACTTGCCTGCCTTGTTTCTATACCTAGCCTAAACCTTTTCCCTTCCAAGTCCTCAACCATTTCCCTTTATCTGTAGCGACTTTGCCACACATTGCTTTTATCGCGCCGCTGGGCAGTAATACGAACATTACAATCCTCTGGTGCCAAGGGATCCCTTTTCCAGATACGTGAACAGATGGCACATGTCATTTGATAAGAAGGCAGCCTGCCATGCAAACTATAAGGATGTACAATGCCAGCCTTTAAACAACAAGGGAGATATGGCCAGCAAGGTTAATATTTGTACAGAGAGAAGCAAATGTTTCGTGGCAGGTATATTGGTGGGGAAGGGTGGGGATGCTGTGTCCACCCATCCCGTCATCAGCACATGCCCAAGTGCTTATGAAGCTCACCAGCTACAGGTATTAAACCCTTGGGTTCTGGTGCTACCATTTGTCCTGCTTGAAGAGCTCTCTCTCCACGGCAGCTGACAAAAATGGTTGCATCAGATTCTGATAGTTCAATCACCCTGTTGGGGAGTTTCCAAAGCATTATGTGGAATGGATTTTATTCCTTTTAGGGCAGTGGCAGTGGCGAAGTTGCATGCTCCGACACCAGGGGTGGAGAGCAGGTGGGAGCATGGCTGCCGCACATCCTGGGGGCATGACGCGTATCCCAGGGGTGTGGTACGCTGCCCACAGGGATGAAGCGTGCGTTCTGCGGGGGCCTGGTGCCCGGCGTGGTGGGAAGGTGTGTGGCGCATGTCCAGGGTGTGTGACCGCGATGGTACCCCCCTCCCTGATGGTGCTAGGGGCAGTGCGCTCCCCGCCCGCCCTTTCCTCCGCCAGTGTACAGTGGGGAGATTTGCTGTTCAGAGTTTGAGGCTTCCTCCATTCAGATCAGGGGCCTTCCTGCTGGCCTACAGCCCCTCAACACCCTTGTTCAGAGGCCTGAGCAGCTAGAAGATGGGCTCCTTGGGTTACTAGACTGGCTGTCTTATGGGGCTGGCCTGTCCATGTGACAGATTGAAGCAGCCACCTCAGGCAGCAGAATTTAAGGGGTAGGGAATGGGGCAATGCCCCCTCCACAGTTTGAGTCCTCACATGTTCTCCTAAACACCTGGAGAGGGCTCTGATTACAAACGAATCTCTTTCCAGAATCCACCACTGTTACCCTTTGTACAACATAATCAAAAGTCATTTAAATAAAAAGGAAATATAGTGTGTCTATCTGTCTGCCCTATCTATCGCAGAGTTGGGGAACCTTTTTCAACTGAAGGGCCAAATTCTATTCTGGGCAACTTTCCATGGGTCATATGCAAGGGACAAACAGGGCCAGAAGGAAATGCAGGTGGAAAAATGAATGTAATTTCTAGGGTAGTTTCTACACTCATCCCTCTCTATCCTCCAGTCAGAGAAGCAAGAGGCCTAGTTCAAGGGCACATTCCAGCCAGGCAAAAACTCTCAAGGAGGGTGTGAAGCAGGGCCAAGGAGGGATCCTTGAGCCAGATAGCGAAGCCTGCAGAGCCACAGTTGGCCCCCAAATCCTAAGGTTCCCCACCCCTGCTCAATCTAGAGATAGGCAGGAAATATACACACAGAATGTTTTTGATCGGCATGTTTGCATTCTGTTCTGTTCTTCTACTGTGACAATAAAATGTCCTTCCAGCTCTTACCTCACTCCAATGGTGAACATGCCAAGAAGATGCTTCCCCTGCAGCCAGCCAATCAGCATAAGTAAACCTTGCAGGAGAGGGGAGAGGAAAACACAAAGCTATCTTGATGGCACCATAGGCATGGTCAGGTGTGTACGTGAACATGAAAATACTCAAAGTATGCACAAGGAGGAGGGTACAAACTAAGGTCAATGTGGTGTAGTGGTTAGAGAAGGGTTTCCCAAACTTGGGTCTCCAGCTGTTTTAGGACTACAGTTCCCATCATCCCTGACCACTGGTCATGCTAGATGGGAGTTGTAGTCCAAAAACAGCTAGAGACCAAAGTTTGGGAAACCCTGGGTTGGTGTGTTGGGACCTCAGGTCAGTCACATTTGCTCAGCCTAACTCTAGGCTTCTACTGTACAAATCTATACTCTAGGGATGGGTGAAACTGTCCGTTTTGTTTTTTCTCATTTTTTTCAGCCTTAATTTTGGTTCTCCACATTTCTGCACCGGTTTGGGGCTTCTTTGTTTCTAAAGTCCTCAGCACTGTGGCGCAAATCTCTCTTCACGTACACATTTTAAAATGCAATTTTGCCTAAGGTATGTACTTTTGCAAGCAATTTCATCCAAATAATAATTTTAAAACCATGTTATTTCACCATCATATGGATAATTTGCCCTCGTAACTGCATTTTTGTACGCATGACTTGGCTAGAGAACTGCACTGCAAATTTCAGAGAGCTGTGAGTTTTGAAGGAGAGCTGTGTTTCAGTTTGCATGTTGCACAGATTAAGTAACTTTGCCTTGAAATCCGATCTGAGCTAAATTGCTTCCCTGTCCCTGCTACACACATAGCGAGTCTCTCCCAAAATGATGGTCCCTTCTGATATGCAGGAGCTAGTTCTTAAAACAGGCAGTAGGTCATTAAGCGGGGGGGGGGGGAGTATTTTCGCAAAACTCACCAATGATGCCAAATGAAATGAGAGTAAGCTGTTTCCCCAGTTTGTCCATGTTTTTCTGCAGTGGAGTCTTGGGGGTCTTGATGCATTAATTGACAGCAAAGGGAAGAAAGAAAAACCCTCCTGAAATAGAACCCTATGGATGTTCCCCTACTAAGAACTTGGTCCACTTTCCCCTGGACCCCTTCTCACCTCTTCTTCTTGCATCATTTTGAATACCTCCCCAAACTGTGAGTTTTCACCTGTTCCAATGACAATGCCCTGAACAAGCAGAAGAATGCAAAGAATAAGTTGCCTTTCCCCTTAGATTTTGATGGTATTCCCCAGAGTTGAAAAACTTTCCCCTGAATGACAGCTGGAGACACAACGACCTGGTTTGTAGATAATGCCAAGCCATGATTTATGTTAACCACAGTCAATAAACCATAGTTAAAGCTTGGTTTACTACACACACACCTCCTTCCCATTACAAGAGATGCAAAGTCAGGAAGATGATCTGTAGCTTTCGAGTGATGATAGCTCCTTAATAGTTAAAGAGGAAGTCTGGGTTAGGAAGTCCCTATTCCCCTCCCAGAACTGCTATTTCCCAGAGTTCCTTGTGAAGAGGACTTGTAGTTTTGTAGGGGTGGGGAATAGGGGGTCTCCGAACAACTCTCAGCACCCTTAACAAACTGCAGCTCCTCTTTGTGTGAAGCCATGATTGTTTAAAGTGGTATCATATCGCTTTAAATGTATGGTATGAATGTGGCCTTAAACAGCTCCGCAAAGCTGATATTAGCCATATAGGCGAACAGCCAACCCCTAATGGGCTACTTTGACAGGTGGGCCAGTATTCTCATGTCACATGACTTCCTTTGTTGTGGGTACATCTTGAATTTGTTGTTTTTGTGTGTGCGCCTTTGCAAAGCGACATTCAAAAAGTGCCGGATTGTAACTGCATGGAAAAAAATCAGGAGCACACAGGTTTAGATTTGCTGCTGCCAGTACATACAACAAGCTTATGAATAATTGCCTAATGATGGGCTACTTACAGCTAGCGAAAGGAGGTTATTTACCACTCACTTTGCCTTTGCCGTATCGTACTAGAGTTCCCATGAATGCGACATTGGTGAGGGTCATCAGGTCTCCAGCTTCTGCTAAGATACCATCGTTCTTACTGCAGGGCTCTGCTTCCCCCGTGAAACTGGATTCATCCACTAAGAGATCTGTAACCTGTCAAAACAGCAGATAAATGGACTCCCATGAATTCCATCCCTTTCCCGTTTTGGTGCTATGCTCCCATTCCTCATTCATTAAAGTTTAATGTGTTAATTCAGTTAATTCTGGAACTGGAGCATGTGCAGATTGGCACGGTTATTTTTGCATATCCACCCCCCATGCAAGCATCAATAGAATGCTGCCCCCCCGAAAAGCAGTCACGTGATTCCATACTACAAAAACACCCCACAAAACTTGTCTTGCTGTCATCAAACACACAATTGCATCTTTTTCATAGAGTTTTCTCAACACACCTAATGAGCGTCATTAAGCGGGGGGGGGGGGGGTTGCCTAGCACAGAGCAAGTACCAGGCGAGATTCTCTGGGGAGAGCATTCTGCAATCTGGGTCCCATCACCAAGAAGGCCCTGTCTCTGGTTGCCTGTCACCGCACCTCCAATGACAGGGTCAAGCAGAGAAGGGCTTTGGGAGGTGCCCAAAGTGTATAGGCAGGTATGAGTGGAAATAGGTGGGTTTTGCGAGGGTCCATGAACTTGTCCTCTGTCAAAGCTTCAGAAGCATAAAAACTGAATCACAAGTTGGCTTGTTGAATTTTACACTGAGTTTTGTAATGGGAGCACCCAGTTATGGAATGCACATGGTACTGTTCCATCATCCATCTCTTACCTCTACGAGTCTGACGTCTGCAGGAACCCTGTCTCCCATAGAAAGGCACACAATGTCTCCAGGAACAAGCTCTCGAGCAAGAAGATGCTGCAGTTTGCCCTCTCTCATGCTAGTATCCCCCCACAAAGAGATAAATACAAAGAAATGGCATCGTATAAGCAAAGCAGAGCTGCCAAAAGGGTTGTGGGGAAGATGCATTTTGGTGACTAGGGATGTCAGACCACTCCAATGGCAATGGAAGAGGAAGCAGAAATTGCTACCATTTGTATGTTTGTCTGTAGTCAGGAACGGAAATCAGTCAAGTAAGTTGCTTTTAAGTTCACAAGCAACATGTAACTAATGATGTTTTTAAACATTGCTTTGGAGTCGGCATTGAAATGAATATGTTACGTATGTAATGCAACAAGTTACATAACTTATGTAACTTATGTTAAATAGTGGACAATGAGACAGATAGCGTAGTATATTGCGTTGCTGTTGTTAGAATTTGCAAATACATTTCTATTGTTTTTAGAGTTTGCTGAAATGATTTCATTGTGTTTAAAACTTGTCTTTTTGTGTTTTATTCTGTTTTGTATCTAGTAGGCCACTTTGATGGCTTTAGGCTATGAAGTGGGTCTACAAATTTATTTAACATCATCATCATCATTATTAAAGGTAAAGGTAAAGGTACCCCTGCCCGTACGGGCCAGTCTTGCCAGACTCTAGGGTTGTGCGCTCATCTCACTCTATAGGCCGGGAGCCAGCACTGTCCACAGACACTTCCGGGTCACGTGGCCAGCGTGACAAGCTGCATCTGGCGAGCCAGCGCAGCACACGGAACACCGTTTACCTTCCCGCTGGTAAGCGGTCCCTATTTATCTATTTGCACCCGGGGGTGCTTTCGAACTGCTAGGTTGGCAGGCGCTGGGACCGAACGACGGGAGCGCACCCCGCCGCGGGGATTCGAACCGCCGACCATGCAATCGGCAAGCCCTAGGCACTGAGGTTTTACCCACAAGGCCACCCGCGTCCCCATCATCATTATTACAAACATTTAAAAACAATTCCACATACAAAAAAGGTTAAAAATAGTTCCAATACAGTTGCAGACTGTTTGGATCTGTTAAAACATTTGTTGCTCCACCCACTTTTGCTTTTGGCCCCACCCACCAATGGCAGTGGCCCCAAGAAGTTTGCTGAGGCAGCCCCTGGGCTGAAAAAGCTTTCCCTGCCACTGTGTTAAAATCACGTTTGGTGACTTGGAGCACAACATCATACCAAAATCACTTGCCTCTCTTTCTACAAGGTGTCCCTGGGTGTGGAAGGAACAAGGGGAAGTGGGGGAAATGATCAAAGCGTTCTCTGACCTTGAAAGACAAATAGGCCACCCCTCTGGACATAATAATTAAAACCATAAAAGGTATTACATATTTGTTTTGGCAAGGCTGGAGCAGGTATTTGTCCTTCTGGTGAAGAAGGAAATGAACATCAGTTCCAGAACTGAACATTTCAACACACACAGTTCAGGTCGGTAAAATAAAGCATAAGTGACCAGTAGGCAAATAAAGGATATTTTAATCATTTGTAAATAACGGGTTTACCCTGAGCATGCGCGCGCGCGCGCACACACACACACACACACACACACACACAGAGAGAGAGAGAGAGAGTCCTCTTAAGCCCTGATCTGCTGTTCTATAGTAAAAGGTAAAGGGACCCCTGTCCATTAGGTCCAGTCATGGCCGACTCTGGGGTTGCGGTGCTCATCTCACTTTATTGGCCAAGGGAGCCAGCGTACAGCTTCTGGGTCATGTGGCCAGCATGACTAAGCTGCTTCTGGAGAACCAGAGCAGTGCATGGAAATGCCATTTACCTTCCCACCGAAGCGGTACCTATTAATCTACTTGCACTTTGACGTGCTTTCGAACTGCTAGGCTGGCAGGAGGCTGTTCTCTGGTAGGGAGGCTAAACTGCACAGTTGTGAATGGGAAGTGTGAGTATCAGCTCCAGGTTTGTGGGGGGGGGGGGCAGGGGACTAGGGCAGAGGTAGGGGTTCTCCTGCCATCCTTCCAATTGTAACCATCACCCCTCAAATGCACACAAGCATTTTGTGCCTCCATACACGCACGAAGAAGGCATCTGGCTAGCACTACACCAAAGGTTTAAAGTGTGTGGATGCTTTACAAGGCTTACCAGTTACACTCTGGTGGGACTAACTTGTTGAGTTCCTCCAGAGATTTCTCAGAGCGGTGCTCCTGCGAGAAAAGAAGCACATCGGTGTCAGGGCACGTTTTTTTGTCTGAATGGGTGAGAACCCACAATGGTCAGTTACCAGAAAAGGTTGTACCTGGATGAAGGCCACAGTCACCACGATGATGACAGCCTAAAAATAAAATAAAAATGGGGGTGGATCAACAAAGACAGTATAACGTCACATGCCAATGGAGAATGGATATTTATTTCAGGCTTACATGGAAACCAGACAAATGGAAAACAAACAAGTAAAAATGTGAAACTTGAGCAGAATTACTAAGATTTTAAGGGAAATAACTGTGTGCTTAAGAGAAAGCGACTGTGTTTATTAAGGGTGTAAGTTTGGAGGGGGATTGCAGCCCCCCACAGTCGTCTAGCGGAACCCTTTACCTCCAAAAGGTACCCCACCCCTCACCTAGAGAAATCAGTTGATGAGTGGTTCTCTTCACCCCCTAGAAGCCTTCTCCCTATTCAGTACAGTTGAAAATAGTCCCCTAGTTCTGATGTCTCCAAGAATGAGGACTCCAAAGAAAACAGATCACGTACCATTGCAATACTCACGGCATCTTCGTATTCTTTAGTGACCACACTTACTAAAGCGGAGGCCAGCAGCAAAAGGATCAGGGGGTTCTTAAACTAAAAGGAAAGAAAAAGGAGAAATTCCTTTGACTGAAGTAGGGTTTGTTTGTTTTTTGCCATTCACAGTGGGAGTAAAGTTGTCACACAACTCATGCCCAGAACTAATAATCTCTGCTTGATCCAGGCAGTTTCACTTTATGCTTGAGTAAGGAACCTCAAGCCTGGGGTGAAATAGGGCTCTCCAATTCTCTCTGTCTGGCTCTCAGAACTCTCCACAGGCCACACCCCTCACTGCACTGGCTTTGCACCCTCCTGGAATGCTTTTGACTGACTAGAATGACCCCATTGAACTCAGATAATGCCTCTTCCTTGTCTGTATGAAGGATAGAGAGGGATACATACCTGTGAATAGAATCTAGCCTATTGTACAAAGGTAAACATTTGAATTTTTTTTGCTCCACCCACTTGTGCCTCTGGCCCCACCCACCACTGCTCTGCAGCTCCTGGAAGAGAATGTAGGCCTCAGGCTGAAAAGGCTTTGTCGTCCCTGCCCTAGAGACACTTTCTGACCACTGGCATGTCCCCAGAGCATCAAAGGTGAGGGGCACTGACTTGTGGGTCAGGGGACGGTGCCTGGATGCAAGAGACAGCAGCTGGCGGGTGGCTAGAGCTCAGTGAATGGGGAGTGTAGCTAAGCTCCGTCTCTTTCCTGGGGCAGGAGGTCAGCAGTAGGGGGCACCAGAATCAAAGACAGGCAGAGCCAACTAATTCCAGCTTTGTCCCCATCTCCTCCCTGCTAAGTTCTTTCATGGCAATACTGAGACTAAGGAGAAGGATCCAATAGGCAGCAACATGGACTGGTTGTAAGTCAGGAGGCAGGCAGGTGGAGGCTGGCTGAAGGCAGGCCAAGGCTGGTGGGGCGATGTCCAGAGTGCCCTAATGGACCAGCCTCCACTGATCTGCAGGCTACATTAATCATGGAAGGTCTTGAAGAAAGTGTCAAACAAACGTCTGGGCTGGTTAGATTAGCATCTCGTACTATTTGAAGGGAACTTGAGCAGGAAAATGTCCTGGTAATTGTGTATGTGTATACACACCCATTCCTATGCCAGATGTACATATTTGTTTTAAATTGAATGTTGTTACCCAACATAACCCTGGAGAAAGAGACAGGGTACATACACCCTGCTATCCAATGATCCACAAAACCCTTTGCCACTAGCATCCCTGTTCTTTACCTGGTCTAGATATTTCTTCCACACTGGCTGCGTATTATCTATTACAAATTCATTCCAGCCATGCTTGATCCTTCGGTGCAGCACTGACACTTCAGACAGTCCCTTCTGTATATCGACCTGAAGAGATGACAGCATATTTTTTTAAAAAACAGCATAAAGCAGGGGTGGGGAATCTTTTTAAAGTTCCCTTTGGTAATATGTTGGGGAGTGCATGATGGCGATGGGTGGGGCACCCTCTTTCTCCCTTCTTCCTCTGCCAACCACTTTCTCTCTCTCTGTCACACACAAACACACACCCCTCAGCACTCTTTAGGTTCCCTCAGAGACAAGGGACATATCCAAACACATCTGCTCCATAACTAGGAAGCCCCATACTGCTGGGAGTTGCTGGGTTCATAATACCAGCATAATCTACCCATTTAGGGATTTGATTTTGTGTGGCTAGTAGGGAAGGAGAGAGCTAACAAATGTCACCTTGAACTCCTTGAAGGACAGGTGAGATATAAATGTAATACTCTACTATATATTTTGGAAAGTGGTTTGTCTGTCCATCCGTCTGTCTGCCTGCTCTGTAGGTTTGTTTGCCTCTCAAATATGTTGTCACCAATTTCAATACAAGGGTTCCTGGCGTGGAGGCGGCAGTCATTGTTGATGTTTGGCTGCTGGCCGCCATTTTGAATCAAGATGGCAGACCGCAACAGGACTTTGCCCATTTTTGGAGTGATTGGGTCCAAGCTCACAACCAACGCTATATTTGCTGGTTTCTACATATTCCAGGATAGCACTGGGTGCTCCCCACTAGTAAATAACAACAACTCCATTGACTTTTCCTAGTTAATTCATGCCAATTGTAAAAATAAATAAATGGGGCCAATGACTCCCATGCAACCCCCTCCTGCAGAAACCGTCACCTGTCTGGATGCTCTGATGCAGTTGAAACAGCAAAGGTTTGTCAGAGGTCTTTTGCTGACACAGTTACCCTGAACAGTTACGGTAAGTATGTTTGCCGACACTCTCTAACCTCATCACAGCTTTTCCAATGGCAGGCAGCATTGTGAAAATATTGTGAATATTAGATCATTTCAGGAACACATGTCAAGACAAGAGACAAGAAGATGACTCTAACTTGCACCTCTTTCTTCTGAAGTGTTTCTCAAAAGTCTCTGTCGTGGTTTTATGGCTCTTACCTGTAACATTTTTGCCAACTCGTCTGCATGGCGTTTGCAAGCCTCTTTGGGAGAGAGGGCCGTAACCTCTTTCTCTTCTTCCACTGACTTCAGTTCAGATTCTTCTTCAGGCTACATAATGCAAATAAAATGTTGGGTGGTGAAGAAAGAGGAAGAGATGAGACTGTCTACAACCATTTTAAGCAGAAATTTAAGTGGAGGGACGGTGGAAAACGGGTTCAGCCGTGGTTCACACATATGTGCCTTATTGACTGGAACTTCCAGTGATCCCTGGCATGTCTAAGGCTCTTCTTTCCATGCTGCTTGTTGGAAGTGCAACAGCAGGTATCATCCAGTTTGTAACTTAATAGTTAATTCTGTTAGTGTTAAAGGCCACTAGCTAAGAGGCGGGTTGGTGGAAGTGTTGCTTAGCAACTTGACAGAGTGCCATGATGTTTGCTGAGGTAGCATGCGCCCCGATTGGCTCCGAAGGGAGTTTTTCCTCTGTGTATTTGGTGGAATGTCTCCCTGCTATGTATGAGGCTTGAACTAAGAAAGGCAAAACCTCCATTCATTTCTCCTCAAATGACACAATTTTTGCTCGGTAATGTGTTATCACGACTTTTCTCTCTGTGTTCTGCTCATCTTGTTTAAGTGCCCATGCTAACAGTGGTGGCTCACTGGGACTGGTAAGGCAGAGAGCCCTAAAGTGGGTGTAGTCAGAGCCAATGATGGACATAACAGACTAATTCTGGTTTTGTCGCCATCGTCTGCTTCCCTGCTCAGCTGTACAAGGACAAAACTGAGACTAAGAAGGAGAAAGTTGACAAGCAGTGCCATCCCTGGGCAGGCAAGTAAGGTAAGAGGGGCAGTGCCCCATTTGCTCTAATGAACCAGCTCACACAGGAACTTATTAAGGGGGAAGAATAGGGCAAAAGGCACACACAGTACATAAGAGCTCTAACATGGGAAAGGGTTTGTTGCCACAGTAATAGAACTCACTGCACCGGGAGCAGAAAACCAGTGGACCTCTGGATGTTGCTGGACTACAACTCCCATCATCCACCACCAATAATCAGGGACGATGGGAATTGTAGTCCAGGAAGATCCGGAGGGTCATAGTTTCCCTACTCTTCGACTCTACTGTTGATACTGTTAAAGGAAAATGTTAAAAAGGAAACAAGGCTTAGCACAGAAGAAAGAAAAACATTTCAAAACCAAGGGGAAAAGGAAGAAAAGAGAAAGTAAGAGAATAGGGACACTAAAACATGATTTTCCACATCGCTTTGAGTGCCACAGTAAAAACTCTTTATAGAAAGGTCTAAAGCAAATAAGCAAAGAAGTTTCCTACTTCTGAATTCCAGTGGTTTTTATAGCTGGAAGGGGCACACACACACACACACACACACACACACACACGGATTGTAAAGCCGGTCTCTTTTCATTGGCTTCCCATTTTATTTTATTTTAGATTTCAGAGCACAACCTTATCAACAGGAAATAAAAGATATCCCCGTGGAGGACATAAATTGATTGCTGGGGGTGGGGAGGAAAGCAGCTTTAATCCTGGAAAGCCAGCCAAGTCTCTGCTCCAAGGAGGCTTCTCAGTATCTCTATTTAGTATTTCTGGACTGAAATGGTTTGCTGCCTACCGGGCAATTTTGATTAATATATATATCATTATTAAAAACATATGAGGAGCTTGCTGGATCAGACCAATGACCCATCTAGTCCAGCTGCCTGTTCTCTCAGTGGCCACTGAGGGGCCTGTGGGAAACCATCAAGCAGGATTTGAGTGCAAGAAAACTCTCCCCTCCAGTAGTTTCCAGCAACTGGTATTTAAAAGCATTGCTGCCACTGACCGTTGAGGCAGAGCACAGCCATCATTGCTAGTAGCTGCTTCTAGCATCCTCCCCCTCCATGAATTAGTCTAATACTCATTTAAAGGCATCCAAGTTGGTGGCTATCACTGCCTCTTGTGGCAGTGAGTTCCACATTTCATGCACTTATGTGAAAAGTTACTTTTAAAAAGTCTGTCCCAAATCTTCCAACATTAGATGTCTAGCATTATGAGATTCTATGCCAAGGAGCAGAAAGTGGTTATAGAGCAATTGGTTCTTGTTCCATTGCCACCCATCCTAGGGTAATTGAGGGGTAGTTTATCATGAGCATTAATTTACTAATTGCCTTCTGCACAATGGTCTCAAGATGATGCACAATCAAAACAGCACAACAACGGCAGCCGAGTTAAAAACCACAGAAAACTTACCATCTAGCTGTTAACAGCAGCAAAATTGTCATTGGCTCAAAATTGGAAAGCTACAGTATTCCTGTCTTGGAAAGAATGGCTTAATGAAATTTGGGTCTTGGCCATAACGCCATGAAGGAAATACTTCTTCACGCAGCACATAGTTAAACAATGGAACTCACTGCCACAGGAGGCAATGATGGCCCCCAAACTTTAAAAGAGGATTGGATAAATTCATGGTAGACAAGGCTATCAAAAGCTACTAGCTACGATGGCTAATAATAATAATAATAATATACAGTGGTACCTCTGGTTGTGAACGGGATCTGTTCTGGAGCCCCGTTCGCAACATGAGCAGAACGCAACCTGTGTCTGCACATGCGCGGGTCACGATTCACCACTTCTGCGCATGCGTGTGACATCATTTTGAGCGTCTGCGCATGCACGAGTGGCAAAACCCAGAAGTAACCAGTTCCGTTACTTCCGGGTTGTCACGGGATGCAACCTGAAAATGCGTAACCTGAACCGAACGTAACAAGAGGTATGACTGTACTGTCTTATACCTGCAGGTCTCAGGGCAGCTAAAACATAAAATCACAGTATGTTCTTCAGTGGCATAGCGTGGGTTGTCAGCACCCGGGGCAAGGCAAGTAATTTGCGCCCCTGCCAGGTAGGGGCAGAGAGCTGCGAGTGAGAGCGCCCCCCCCAGATGTTGCGCCCGGTGCGGCCGGCCCCCCCTGCACCCCCCCACACTACGCCACTGATGTTCTTCCTTCACTGTGCCTCTCAGTACCAGTTGCTGGGAACTGAACTAGGGCAGAGTGCTGCTGTGCTCATGTCCAGCTTGCTGGTTTCGCACCAGCATCTGGTTGGCCACTGAGAACAGGATGCTGGACCAGATGGGCCACTGGCCTGATCCAGAAGGCTCTTTTTATACAGTTGTCCAGCAGCCTCTGGAGAGCCACAGGTTACCCATCCCTGCTCTAATCTTCTGAGAAGGAAACAGGATTACTGCCCTGCAATTTGGCGATTCAAGGCAGGCACTGCCCTTAAACCTCTTCTGAAGTGGTTCCAGGATAAGTGGCTTAGCTATTGTTGATGGCAAAGCAAGCCAAGCAGTCAGAAGAGCAACCTAATAACACCAGGAAACAGAAGCAGTGAAGCTGGCAAGTTTGCATTCAAATCCTGGGTCCCGATGCCCTTTTCCAGACTTTGCCCTTTTTTTGTTTGTTTGTAAGAAAGACAAGTTAAACATAGTAAAAAGAAAACAACCATGACGCTTAGCACAGGTACGCCTGGAGGAAATAAAATAATTAGTTTACCCTAGCAAAGTTGGCAGGCATGGTAGGCACTGACTGTTTCTTATGAAACAAGAGATGTTTGAAAATGAAGTCAGGAGAACAGCTGTGTTTATTCTAGCCTGCTATGAACCTGCCATGCAAGCAGCAAAATTGGGTGCAGTGTGCAGGAATCAGGATTCTGGAGGATCTCAGGAACTTTGGCTTGTTTGTCTTGAAAAGCAAGTCTCTAGTCCTCATCGTTTGGATATTTATGGGCGTTTCCTTGAGGGATTCTCAGGACCAATGGAGATGCTTACAACTTTGATTCATCTTTGGGTGGGAAACAGTGATTGCTCCTCTCCCTTCCCCTTGCTATAGTAGGTAGCCCTGAACATATTTTTCTTTCTTTCTTTCATTGCAGACTGTTATCAAAAAGAAAAAGAGGGAATATCATTTTTTTCTCCTTCTCAAAACTCTTGAGGGGAGGGTGATAGACAGCTTTTGTTCTGAGCTCTCCCCCTGACCCAGAGGGCTCCACCTCCAGAGCTCCATGCCAAAATATCTGATTTAAGCAACTGGGAAGCCTAGGAAAAAGCAAAACAACGCATTCCAAATCTTCACCTTTGTTTAATTTCTATCTAGCTTATGTAAAACAAAATGAAAGAACACAGAGAACTGGGGTTTACAAACAATCATACAATAACAACATCTAGAAAAAAGCTCTCCTAAAATTTGAAAGATACAACATGGTATATGGCCATTGCTGTCACAAACCTATACCTGAAGTATTATAGAGAAAGAGGATTTTAGAAAAAGGCATGGACTAGTAACTTTGTGAGAGTGCATACCAAAAGCAAGGAAATGAACGCAACATGCCCGTCCACATACTTTTGGAGATTATGCACCATTAATTCAGCACATATGTGGTACATTGTTTGCCCAAGCTCTGCTGTTTTTCAGCACAGACTCTCGGCCTTTTTCTCACAGTGACCACCCATGGAAAGCCTGCAAGCAGGATCTAAGCGCCACAGCAACTCTCCCTCACCTGCAATTCTCAGCAGTTGGCACCCAGAGACATATTGCCACCAGCCATGGAGGTAGGAAAAAAGCCATTGTGGCTAGTAGCCATTGACTGCTTTATCCTTTTGACTAAGTGAGTACACAGGCTGGTCTCATCCTAATAATTTACAAAGAATGCAGACACTTCTTTTCCATCTTTACTTTGTTTCCACAGCCTGTGAGCTAGGTCCCTATTCCCATTTTACAGATGGCAAAACTGAGGCTGTGTGTGTGTGTGTTTTAGAGAGAAACTCTCCTGAGACTGCATCATGTGGGCTTGCAAATACAAGCCTCCCAAGTTCTGTTCCAGCAGTTAGTGGCCACTGACTGGACTTTGCATCCCATCAACTGGGGCCAGGTGACGAGCCTGGACATTCCCAAGGCAGATGAGAAACCTAGTGGGATCCTGGGAGCTTGACATAACGGTCAAATTAGATGTGACACGAATGCATCTTTTCATCTAGTGTGCAGACCTTTTTTAAAAAAATGCAAACTGCACATTCTCTATGTAGGTGATCATTAACAGGATCAGGGCAGGCATGGAATGGAATGGGGATTTGACCATTTCCTCCTGTGCTGTGCTTGGGGTGGGGTGGGGTGGATATATCATCTGAATCTGTTGTTTGTTTTGGGAAGGAATCTTCCACTGAACTGCAGAGGGGAAAAGATTTAAATCCTGCCATTCCGGCTCCAAACCAGTCAGCGGTTCCCCCAGCTGATGCAATTTGCATTCAAAGAAACCCTGCATGATAGATGCACAGATACATTTAACATCCCATGCAGCCCCAAGAGAGAGTTATCAAACCCCCCCCCAAAAAAAAACCATGGTTTGGCAAGGGGAAGCTTTTAATTTCTGGTACCTGTCTCAGGTGACACACTGTCCCTATTTTGTTGTTAGCACGATTGCACATGCCTTGGGTGAGTGGTTCCCAAACTGGTTTCCCAAAGACCACTTGAAAATTGCTGAGGGTCTTGGTGGACCTGCTTAATTATTTTTCTGCCCCTTGTAACAAATCTAATGGGCTATACTGGATGCTGCAGGATTCTTAATTGCCCTTTTATTGCTCCCTTTACTTCTTGGATTGCATTTTATCACATTACGATTTGCATTCCACGGAATTTAAATTATGGCGCAATGAAATACAGCCTAAGAAATTAAAAGAGCAATAAGATAAGAAGACAAAAATCAATAGGGATATCTAATGCCATGATGGACCACTGGGCGGCTGGGTGCTGCTGCTTGTGCATTGTTTTGTTGTGTTTTCTTGGTGGCTCTGCTTGCTTTGCACTTCTTGTCAATAGTTGCTTTGAGGCCTTTAAGCAGGCATCCCAATACTCAGCCCTCCAGATGTTTTGGGACTACAATTCCCATCATCCCTGACCACTGGTCCTATTAGCTAGGGATGATGGCAGTTGTAGTCCCAAAACATCTGGAGGGCTGAGTTTGGGGATGCCTGCCTTTAAGTGACCCCAGCTATGAGATATTAGGTAAAGGTAAAGGACCCCTGGATGGCTAAGTCCAGTCAAAGGCGACTATGGGGTTGCAGTGCTCATCTCGCTTTCAGGCCAAGGGAGCCGTCGTTTGTCCACAGACAGCTTTCTGGGTCATGTGGCCAGCATGACTAAACCGCTACTGGCGCACAGAGGACTGTGACAAGTGCCAGAGTGCACGGAAACACCGTTTACCTTCCCTGTCACAGCAGTACCTATTTATCTACTTGCGCTGGCATGCTTTCGAACTGCTAGGTTGGCAGGAGCTGGGACAGAGCAACGGGAGCTCACCCCGTTGTGGGGATTCAAACCATCGACCTTCTGATCAGCAAGCCCAAGAGGCTCGGTGGTTTAGACCACAGCGCCACCTGCGTCCCTGATGAGATATTAAAATCATTCTGTTTGGTGCTTGGTGGGGGAGGAAGCTATCTACAGCAGCTCCTTCTCTGGAGCATGTGTGTGTGTATATACAGTGGTGCTTCACAAGACGAAATTAATTCGTTCCGCGAGTTTTGTCGTCTTGCGAAGCACGGTGTCGGGAACGTTTTGGAAAAGCTTCAAAAATCACCAAAGTCTTTAAAAACTTCAAAAAAGGCTACCACACCGCGTTCTATGAGTTGCTCCTTGAAGTCAAGTCGCAACTGGGTGTATACATAGAGAGTGGCAGTGTATGTGGCAGTGAATTTCCTGCAATTGGCTGGAGTTGGAATAGATGACCCTTGAGGCGCTTTTCAATGCTACAGCATTACAATTCTATGAGATGTTGTTTTGGTACTTGCAAACCATGTAAGCCCCATAGAAGATCTTTAGAATGGCAAGTACAGTGTAATCAGGGATGGGGACACATTTGCAACCTGAGGTTCACATTCCTTTCTGGCCATGTGCAGGTAGTCGGGTGTGGCTAAACCACAAAAGTGGCTGGAGCAACAGATGTAAATATTGCCTTGGTTAACAGTTAGACTAGGTTCTATGCACACTCTCATGGCCTCCTTGTCTTCCATCCAGGAAGCAAGAGGCGTTCTCAGAGTTTCAAGGGCACTTTCCAGCCAGGCAAAAACATTCAAGGGCCGGTGGGGGATGTTGTCTTGGTGGAAGAGGGTGGGCTATTGTGCTGGGGAAGAATGCTGCCTCTAACTGGGGGATCTTGGGCATTCTGAAATACAGCTTGCCTCTGTCAGCAAACTCAGAGGTTGCCTCTTCAGCAGGATGTTAAACTTCTGCACAGCCTTCTTGCAATTCTAAAAATGCACAGGGATTTTAGGAAGAGCTCGAGGACCAGCTAGAGAGGCATTTGGCATGAAGTTTAATATGGGGCCTGAGGTTCCCCAAACTTTGTATATATCTTCCAAAGAAATGGATTCCCCACCACCAGTTAAATAATAAGGGGAATAGATATATCCCTTGAATTTTCAGCACCCTTTTCCTCCCAGTTCCTAGACTTTAAATAACTGAGCCGAGGGAGGGAGAGTTCCTGTTTCCAAGTGTCCCTTCAACTGCCTGCTGCGATAGAAAATACGGGTGAAGGTATTTGTTCTGTAAAAGCTGTTCTGTCAGATCCACTGGGAGATTAAGCATTCTTAAGAAGCATAAACTGTTACTACTAGCACACCCTCCTGCGAGATCCAGGCCGGGTCAGGCTATGGCAAGAGAAAGGAATACAATGAACTGCAGCTGGGAGAGGGGAGGCCGAGATCAGGGATTAACTCTTCATTGAGCAGAAGTGCAGAATCTTTAAGTACCCTTGGCTCTTATCTGTAAAGTGTCTGGTGGGAGGCAGATTGATGAGCTGAACAAACATCTAAGCGGTCGCCCAAAGAATCTTGGGAACTGTCGTATACTCCTCACAGGGGAACAGTTCCCAGCACTCTTAGTAAATCACAGTTCTTTTTTGGGGGAGATCATATGCTTTAAATGAATGGTGTGTATGTGGCCAAATACATGTTGTAATGTAGCAGGTAAGAGATTGAGTTGAGAATTGGGGAAGTGTCCAGTTTGAATCTCACCTTGGCCATGAACTCCCAAGGAGGCCTTAAGGCAAATCTCTCTCTCCTCCTCCCCACACTTTCCACTTTCTCAGTCCCAGTCCCCCCACCTGCAATATAGGTCGAGATAATAAATACTGATTTACATTGCAGCACACTTTGCCGATCAATTCCCATTGATTCCAGTTAGCAAATGCTGTCTTGCAGGGTTGCGTATGGAGGGCATCTGGGCCATGTGTGTGAAGCACCTTAAACACTTGAAAGTGCTATGCAAGAGTTAAATAAATAAGTGCTTGTTTTAAAAAAAATATGACTGACGTTTTGCACAATGCAAGAAAGCAGGAAAGGGAGGCAGGAATAGCCACCCCTTGAGCTATGTCTGCAAGGAAACTTGGAAAGTTCACAGAAGCATTTTTCAAGGTGGATAAAGGTATCTGAGCACAAATCCTATGGCACAGGTGTGCATATGACCATGGCCATTAATGTCAGTGGGTCTACTCTGAGCATAATACAACCCTTGAAATTGGATACAACCTTTTCTCCCCCACCCCAGCCTCTGTGTTTTTATCCTCTTTTTAAGCCACCTGGAAACTGATTTTTGTATTAGGCAACCATTATCACTCAATAAATAATAAGCATGTATAGACACCTCTGGCTATGTGAAAAATGGGAAAGAGCCATAGCTCAGTGGTGGAGCATCTGCTTTGCATGCAGAAGGTCCCCGGGTTCAATCCCTGACATCTTCACGTAGGGCTTGGAGAGATCCCTGCCTAAAATCCTGGAGGAAGCTGCTGCAAGTCAGTGCTGACAGTACTGAGCTATTTGAACCCATGGGTCTGGCTCTGTACAGAGCAGCTTGCTCTGTAAAGATGGGGAACAGTGTCCTCAGTGACCAGCAAAGTGCAAACCAGCCAAAGTACAGTGGTACCTCTGGGTTAGTACTTATTCGTTCCAGAGGTCCGTTCTTAACCTGAAACTGTTCTTACCTGAAGCACCACTTTAGTTAATGGGCCTCCTGCTGCCTCCGCACCACTGGAGCACGATCTGTTCTTAATACCTGATAGCCAAAGTTTATTTTTTCTTAATAACCTGAAGACTAATTTCTTGGGTACCGAGTCTGGTAACCTGAGGCGGTTATGTAACCCGAGCGTATGTAACCGAGGTACCACTGTAAAAAAAGGAAACGGGAAAGGAAGGAAAGGAATTAAAAGGTTTTAAGAAAAAAAGAGAGGAAAAGGGGCAAGGGTAATTACCAAACGTTAGGTAAAAAAGGTAAAGGTAAAGGTACCCTGGCCCGTACGGGCCAGTCGTGTCTGACTCCTAGGGGTTGGTGGCGCCCATCTCACTCTAGAGGCCGGGCGCAGCGCTGTCCGGGAGACACTTCCGGGTCACGTGGCCAGCGTGACAAAGCTGCTCTGGCGAGCCAGCACCAGCGCAGCACACGGAAACGCCGTTTACCTTCCCGCTATAAAGCGGTACCTATTTATCTACTTGCACTTAGGGGTGCTTTCGAACTGCTAGGTGGGCAGGAGCTGGGACCGAAAGACAGGAGCTCACCCCGCTGCGGGGATTCGAACCGCCGACCATATGATCGGCAAGTCCTAGGCACTGAGGTTTTACCCACAGCGCCACCCGCGTCCCCAAAAGTTAGGACCACCACTTAACAGCACTTGATAACCATTTCGTATCTGGAGAGGCAGCTCCAGAGTGACAGCCCACCCTCTGCAAGTGGAGCTAGAGGGCTTGTTCGGGAGAGACATTGTTCCAAGGCAGTGACATTCCCCAGCAACACCACACATTCCCCGCCACCGCTTTACCTCTTCTTCGGGTTCTTTGCTGCCCACCGGCTGGTATTTCCGGCTCATGCGTAGGGGGGAGGCACCTTTCCGGCAGATCAAGGAGAACAAGTGCTTTGCCCCATCTTAGCTGGGGCAGGCGGCGAAGGAAGGCGGCAGCTAGCAAAGCACCTGCTGCCGTGGCTGGCGATTTGCTGTGTGTTTCCTGGCCGAGCCT